AAGTTGACTTTTGTCTACTTTAAAGAAAAATTGGAGATCTTAATATTAGATGTTTTAAGAAGTTATCCCCTTTCCCTACTTGACATAATATATTTCAACATATCACCATAATCCTGCATATCATTCTTTTCTGCTCATTAGTATTTTTCTTTCTGTCTTTTAAAAGTCATGCTTTTGGTCATACTCCGTGGATATCCAAAGAGAAGACCTCATGCCACTTTTCAAAGAACATGTCTCCTTATTTTCTTTCCTTTTGCTGGTGGGCAGACTGGGTGACCTTGTGCTGAAATGTATTTTCTTTGCTTTTTTTTGATAAGGTTATTATATAGCATTTACCTTTGATTTAAATTAGGTGAACTGATTTCAAATATCTAGAGTACAAAGAACACCATATAAAGCTAGTTTTCAGATGTCTAAATTATGTCTGTACAGCAAGATGGTTGGGCATTTTGCTGTGGTTTCCATAGCAATATGTCATTTATTCGTAGCTGTGACTTCTGAAAGCTTAAATAGTCATAAAATCAGTTTGGTCTTTGGAGCTGGAGCACTTTGGATGTTAACCTGACTGAGTTATCACCCTGTATTTCAGTGTATTTCAGACTCAGGGAGAGTTTATTCCTTTTAGAGGAAAGCTTTGTCACTGATCATTTTTTCTGCACATATGGTGTCATTTACCATGTGCTTGGCATGTCTTTGCTTCATAGCTTAGAAATATTTGGAAGGCCTAAGCAGTCTTCTTAAATTCATATTAGGCCGCTTGAGAATTTTGTGCAATTATAAAATTATTCCTTAGATTTGGCATCAGGGCAATGTGAAGTGGCAATCCGTATGTTAAATGAGGATGGACTTTTATTACAATATTATTAAAGACCAAAATAGGCAATCCAGTATACATCTTTTTCACTTGGAGATTACTGAACTAAAAGTTAATTATTAAAATAATCTAGGTAGTCGCTAGTTTAGATGTTTTAGGTATTAATGTGCCTCAAGAAAGGGGGCTGATCCAGAAAGCTACTGCCATTTCGGCTCTGGGATTCTGCTCCTGTCTCAGTGAGACCATCTCCTGCTGCATCATTTTGCGTGTTCGCTTGGTATCTGTTCCGTACGGATCCCTTTTAGTGTTTGGGCTTCCCTCTGAGAACTGATGTGCATCGGTCACAGAGTTTTATATTTAGAGATTTTAGAGAAAGGTGCTTAGATTCCACAGCAAATTAGTTGCCTTAGTACTGTTTCTTGTATATTGGATTTCATGGAAACCCATTATTTTGAGAGATTAACATGTACAGAGTAACTTATATTCTATTTAGCTTTTCACAGGGAGCTGTTCCTCCCTGATATTCGTGACTGCCACTTGTAGGCCGAGGAGAACGTGTAGGTGGATCTATGTGTATGCTGTCGCCATCAGAAGCAGATGCAGCTCAGTGTGCTTGATCAAAGGACAAAATAGTTCTTTTATTGGCTTAAAAATTAAGACTGATAAATATCTATGTGTATTTTATACCTATAAAATGTTCAAAAGGAATGTCCTGTCTGTGAAAGGTAGGCCCCCAGTGAATGGGTCATTCACTGGTGCAGCAAAATGCATGTAAATCTATAGTTTTTTGGTCCATAAGACATCTTGAAGAATTAGCAAGGCATTTATTGTGCAACTAAGCTTCCTAAAAACCATGATATTTTAGAAAGGAATTCGATGGGCACATTCCCATGAGATTCAGAAGTCCGATAAACAGGTGGAAATAAAGGCCTGTTGGAGACAAATGCATGCTGCGCAGGACAGTGAGAGCAGGAGTGTGACGAACGAGGAGAATTGAGGAGTAGGACACAGGAGGTGCAGGAAGGGACAAATGATAACGTGTTATGAGTCTGAACTTGTGTGTGAGCTCCACTGGTGCCGGTTACTAACTCGCATCCTTACTTGGGAACGTTCACATTGTTGAGAACGTCCCTAGAAGCACCCTCCAATTTCTGGGTTGCCACCAGAACGCTTGATGTGTGTTTGCTCTTGCAAAATCACCTTCAGTCTGACCAAGACACTAGGTTGAGGAATCTGAATTGCTATTTCTTCATTATTTAAATTTGTAAGAAAAATTTTCTTCACTGGCAAAGGATATATCGCTGATCAATATTATTAATGTCCAGAGGTGTATATGTTGATTTTCATTCTAGCCAAGAATATTAAGTAGAAACAAGGAAAGGAAAGTGAAACCAGGTTTTTGTTTAACATTTGAACAAAGGCAATAGATTCCTGACACTGAACGACTCCAGGAGCCGCCACTCATAAACACCTGTGGGCTAAGCGGACACTTTTCAGAGACACAGGAAGGAAGAAAATACTAAGGGGTCTGTACCTCCAGTCTGGCTGGAGGTGGCAGCCCCACCACAATCCTGCACCTTGTCCTGAACAGGACGTGGGAAACTGCCTTCACTCTGACTCTGGAGGCATTAAAGGAAAGCCATTCTTTCTAGTACAGATAGGGCTTTTTCTGTTCGAGTTTCAGAGTTTGAACTCCAGGTAACTTTGAGAGTTGCGTACTATTTGCAGCAATGTATTTCAAATCCTAACTTGTTCTAATGTACAAACAGAAAGAAAAAAAGAGGAGAGAAAAGGAACAGGAGGGGGAAGACACAGAGGCAGAGGGTTACTTACCGAACTTGGCCCTAAAGGACGCCACTGGCATCTCCCCTTTGGCTCCATGAAGCACCACGTGGTGTGGCTCCCAGGGACTGCAGAGAGGTGGCGTCTGCAGAACCTCCCCTCTGCCCAGTTTATAGCCGGTGCCCCAGCTCCTTGAAGGAAGAGAGCCCCCAGGTGCTGCTGTCTTGCAGCAGTGGCTCAGTCATTATATATGCAACTTTTATAAGGAATTATGCACTGACTGGATACATTTAAAAATATATATAGTTTGGAACCTGATCTGCTTTGAACAGAAATGACATATCTTTATCATGCTGTTGATTTTTAGGTTAAGCTTCCTAGTGCATAATAACTTTGCAATGAATGGAAAATAAAAATAAGTAAAAATTAGGACTGATCATATTTTTAGGATTGCTCTCCTTTAATCCATGAAAGGCTAAGCGTTTTAATGAACGTGTGTAATTTTTAAATAATGGAGTTTATGTTCAGCATCCATTTAAATAAATGCATCATTTCAAATTAGAAGTAAAAATATGCAAAAATTAAGGCACAAAAAAGAGATTTGTATCTTGAGAACTTCTTTATTTGTCCACAAAATGAAAAAAATTTTGAACAAGTTATACACTTAAAAAGTGTTTTTAAGTTTAAACAGTGGGGTTAATCTCAGAACTTGGTCTATCAGTGATCTATGCTGTATAACAAATTAGAGCACAGCTTCCGCTGGTCAGAGATTTGGGAGTTACTTGGCCGAGTGGTTCTTGACTCATTCATGAGTCAAGATGTCACCCAAGGCCGCAGTCATCTGAAGGCTGGATTGGAGCTGGAGGGTCCACTTCCATCATGGCTCACCCACATGGCAGTTGGCCTCACCATGGGTCTTTCCATAGACTGCTTGAGTGTCTTCATGGCCTGGCTGCTGGCTTCCCCCAGAGGAGCACTCTGAGAAACAAAGCAGGAAGCTGCGGTGCCTTCATGACCAAGGCTCCAAAGTCATACACTGTCACTTACACTTTTTTTTTTCTGTAGAGGTAAGCCTTTAAAGTTAGCATATACTTAGGGAAAGGAAAATTAGTCCTCACCTTTTGGAGGGAGTCCTCACCAAAGAATTGGTGAACATTTTTTAAACCATCACAGTTGGCCTGAAAGGGACACAGTATATTTTTAGCTCCTTGCGACAAAACCTTCAAAACTTTAAATAAGTCTACATCTGATCCTGAAGTATCCATGTCACATTTCAGAATGCAGACTAAAACTCAGTTGTGGAATTGTAGGATTTTGAGCTGGAAGAGACCTGGTTGTGTCCTCTTGTTATAGAAATGAGAAAACTGTGGTCGGAGAGGCAACAGACATGACAGTAGTGGCTGTGTGGTCTGTTGTGGACGCTGTGTTGGGACGGACACCTCCGAGGGGTGCCCTTCGCATTGGTGCTCAGGGCGATGTTCTTGACGGTCTGCATTGGAACTGCATTGGAACCGCACTGGGATTCAGCTTAACCTTTCCCTCTTGTGTGTGGAGGGAGAGCTGAGAACCAGAGCATCAAAGCCCAACGAGACATTATCTCTGGTTCTGTTTTCTCTGCGTAGGTAAAGTAAAAATTTTAATGCAAACATCACTTTTCCCCTAACTTCTAAGAAACAGTTGATTTCTCTGCCAAGAGAGGGTTAGTGCGATTTGCTCTGTTTCTTGATATGGCAGAATTCCAGGCAAATGTGTGAAGGAGTTAGCCTTCACACCATGTGGAATCTACAAAGACCTGCATTGCTGGCTGCCACCTTGAAACACTTAAGATAAGTGGATTTCTTAAACCTGTTAAGTGTGTTCTTAGTCTTGAAAAGATCTCTTTTAAAACCTGCATAAAGCATAGTGTGCTGTCTCTGGAAGAGAGGTAAAACATCCCTTAGGAAAAATTCTTTTATCCTGAATGCAAGTGACTTGACAATTTTCAGAAAAATCATTCTTGTGACAAAGCTATTTCTTTTCAGCACTGCACGTTTTCCGATTTGCTCTTTGCCTGTGTCTGCATGTGTGTTTCTCGGTGTGCCTTTGTATTATGGCCAGTGCATCCACTCTACCTCCCTGCTTCCTTTTTTCACGGTGAAACTCACAGGATATTTATAAATTTTAGAAGATAGCACACATGCCAAAAGTGCTTGAGAATGTTTGTTTTCCTCTTCCTAATCAGAATTTCTGTTTCAGGTTCTTCTGCAGCTTGGGCTGTGGCTGCCAATGCCAGATGGCACCATGTCTGAGGAAAGAGCTAGCTTTTGCTTAGAAGTAATACCCACAAACAATGCCAAATTAGCATAAGCAAATGTCAGTGAGTTAACACAAAGCCAACACTCTCTGTCTTTTCTCTCCGTCCTAGGCCATGGGTGTTGAGAGTGACCAGGAAATTGTACAGATGATTGGGACCGAGGAGCACGTGATGGCTGCTTTTGGGCCCAGTTTGGAAGAGTGCCAGAAAGCTCAGATTTTCACACAGATGCAGGTGTGTCTTTCCCTGTGGTCCTTCGCTGTGAAAGGGAGTTGGAGATTTAGTGCTGCTCATTGATAAAGCACGGGGTGCAGTGACTTTTGGGGGCGTGGATTTGGGAGGGGTGTGGGGGAGATGGAAGAGGTAATAGAGAAGCTTCCGCGACTCACTTTCTAGGGACTGGAGGAAGGAGTGTGCCTAGACAAATCATTATCCTATGGTGTCCAGCTCGGGGGATATGTGGCCAAGAGGCTTTCTTTCTCATTTGATAGGAAGTATTCTCTTTTTTCCATATTCGTCTGAGTTATATGTATTTTAAGCTACAGCAACTCTAGTGTAGAAGGCTTTATTTTTTGCATCTCTTTAATATCCATTTTGACTCCCTACTTCTAGTTGCTTTTCACTTCTAGTTGCTTTTCACGTCTAGTTAGTTGTATGTGATCCCTGTCACTTTTCCTGAATTCCCAGTGTTACCAGCAAGAGAGGCCCAGGATCAGAGACCCCTTTACCACTCCAGGAGGGACGTTCATTGACCTGAGGCACTCCTGGTTGGAACCTGGGGATTTTACATGAGACATGAAGATGAAAACAGGGATGTGTATGAAAAACAGCCATACTTAGGACGTCTAGCCCACATTTATAAAGCGCTTTGCTAAGTGGAAAGAAATCAATGATGACATCCCTAAGAGCCGTCCTGGGGAAGGGGGATTCCTACCGTCATAGCGCAGAGTGTTTACGGGTCCCCGAGTGTGCTGTCTCTTCTGTGGGTTACTTACAGCAAGGTGTGAATGCCAAGCTGCTTTTTTCCTCGTCACCCAGGATGCTCGTAGAGCATTTTCCCACTTCTATCTGTTAGTGTGTGTTCTGTAAAAAATCAAATCCCCCTTGATATTTTCAAAGACTGAGTAAACATTTAGGGAGGTTATTGTCACGTGGAAGTATACATAATTCGAAAGCACCAATCAGTGGGGATTATTCTTCTCACTAACTTCCTCTTTTTCTGCAGTTAATTACTAGTTGACTGTAGTTATTCGATAAGCAGCATCAGGAAAAGTTGCTGGGATTTGGGAGATTCTATTTTTGGTCTTCATTGAACGTGAAATATTTGGTGAGCATGAATCTTGTTACAAACTGAAATTGTATTGACCAAGTGTTCCTAGAACATGAAGAGAAAAGTGTTAAGAAATACCCAGGCATTGGGGCAGTTTGAGGGATATACTCAATTTGTCTTGATGACATCACAGTGGATGCAGTGAGATCCATTATTCGTTTTATTACACACTTCATCCTTGTTGGTCACATGATTCTGTATCATAAAGCAGTGGGCCGGAAAACCACGCACTTATTTCTCTTAAGTAGGTAGTGATAGAAAAGTCTAGCTGACTGAGTCAGAGAAGTTCAGTGAGAGGATCAGCGTAATGCACAGTCGCCAGGAAAGACGCACGTTCCTGACAGAGGGAAGCAGACGAGAAGTACAGGTCTGAGGCGGCCTGTGCTCTGTACACTGGGTTAGGGCTCAGATTAATTACTCGCTACTAATAAAAGGTGGCAGAGACACAAGTAATCAAAAACGGTTAAATTGAACCTAGATTATGAGTTAGGACAACGTGAGTATCTTATGTTATTCTAAATGAAAATGTAGCAAGTACACTTTATCTTGTATAATAGAATTTTTAACACTATGGAATTTCAGTGACTGCTTGGAACCAGTGTTCTGTTTTTAAGGCCTCCCGTTTGGTCTCCTTTTTCTCTGCTCACAGAGCCTTTCTCCTCCCTATTTGTTATGTACATTTTACACCATCCTTGCCATGGGATCTGGTGTACAGAGAAGAAATTGTTCCCCTTTTGGGAGGAGAGGATGCAGTGGGGTGTCACCTCGGCCTGTTTATGAACAGATTGGGCTCCTGCCCTCACACTAGGCAGCCCCAGCAACATTATGGGATGTCCTAGCGAAAAGGTGACTTCCTGCTTCCATTAGAAGGAATACCAGGCGCTCCTGTGTTCTTTTGTTTCTTCTTCAAAAAAGTAAAGAATCTTTGGCTTTTTCCCCTAGGAACTGGAAGACCAAAATTTAATGAAGATAGCTCAGCTGAGGGAAAACCAAACTGTCTGTCTGTTCCTGGGTCCCACCAACTGCTGACCTGTTTTAATCAGTTACTGTACTTAGCGACTACTTCCTGCCAGGTTACTGCAGCAAGCATTTTCAGGGTCCTTAGTTATCTTATGCTCCAGTGGCTTTACAGGGTTGATCGTAGGTTTGATGTTCAGACACTTCACTTGTCATCAGGAATCAAAAAGATGACATAACATTTAATAGGAGAGACATACACATAAATAAACAGTTAAAATGTAGCGTTACCTGAATGCTAATGGAAGTATTAGTTTTTTTTCATTTAATTTTATTTTTTTAATATATTTTATTGATTATGCCATTATAGTTGTCCTATTTCCCACCTTCATTCCCCTTCACCCTGCACACCCTCTCCCACCCACATTCCCCCCCTTTAGTTCATGTCCATGTGTCATAAGTTCTTCAGCTTCTACATTTCCCACACTACTCTTGCCCTCCCCCTGTCTGTTTTCTCCCCACCGTGTATGCTACTTATTCTTGGTGAAGGTACCAAGAATAAGTACCTCCCTCCTTCTCCCCCTCCCACTCCCCTGTTGCTAACCTTCCATGTGTTCTCCATTTCTGTGGCTCCGCTCCTGTTTTAGGTGTCTGCTTAGTTTGCTTTTGTTTTAGGTGTGGTTGTTAATAACTGTAAGGGAAGTATTCAGTTTTTTTATACGTAAGGAATTAAAAGAGCAGAGAAAAAGGAGTGGGGTTAGGAAAGTCTTCAAAGAGGAAGTGATACCTCGTCTAGGTTTTAAAACATGGAAAAGAAATGACTTTCAGTTAGACTTTCTGACTAACTGAAAGCCAGTTTAAAAAAAATTTTTAAAGCATTCATTGTTGTTATAAAGTAGTAAGAACCACATGATCCTCTTCTTTAAAAACTTTCTATTAAAAAATTTTAACAATTCCAAGTACACAGCATAGTATTATGAGCCCTCATGCACCTGTCGCCCAACTTCAGCAGTTAGACACTTAGCCACTCTTGTTTCCTCTAACTCTTCACTTACACTCTTCACTCATTACTTGATTAGTTTCTAATATTTCCTTCTTTTTTAGGTAAAACTCATATATACTGAAGCATACATATACTAGTTATATAATTTTTATAAGACATAAAATATTGTTGCCTTGGCTGGTGTGGCTCTGGACTGAGTGCTGACCTGCGATCTAAAGGGTTGCTGGTTCGATTCCCAGGCAGGGCACATGCCTGGGTTGCAGGCCAGGTCCCCAGTAGGGGGTGCTTGAGAGGCAGCCACACATTGATGTTTCTTTCCCTCTCATTTTCCCTCCCTTTCCCCTTCTCTAAAAATGAAAACAAAATATTTTTAAAATGCTATATTAAAAAAATTTAAAAATGTCATTACCTCAGAAAGTACTATCATGCCCCTTCGTGGGCATTTTTTGCCTTCATCCTCTGATTTCTTCCTCCACTGTTTCAATTTTTTCACCATAAGTTAGTTTTGCCTGCTCCAGAGCTTTATATATATGGAATTATGCAATGTATTCTTTTAGTGTCGAGCTTCTCTTGGTAGAGCATTCGCTCTGAGATTCATCCAGGTTGTTCCTCTTTATGGCAGTTACCCGTGCAGTTGGTGTCTTTTTGCTGAGCAGTATTCCACTGTGTGAATATACAGTTTGTCTTCTCCTGCCGATGGACGTTGGGTTTGTTTCACTCTCTGGCTGTTTTGAGTAACGCTGCTGTAAGCACTCCTGTGCAAGTCTTTGCCTGGACAGGTTAGTGTTTCTCTTAGATAAATACCCAGGAACAGAACTGCCGGATCGAAGAGGTTGTGGATATAACTTTTATAAAATCGGAACTGCCGAGTCTGTTTCCAAGGTGATTGTACCATTTGCAGTCCCACTGGCAGTGTATGAGGGCTCCGATTTCTTCACATCTTCACCATCATTTAGTAGTGGTGGTCTTTTTAGTTTTAGGCATTTGAGTGGGTGTTTGTTGGTATCTCACTGTGGTTTGAATATGTATTTCCCAGATGACTAATGAGGTTGAACACTTTTTCAGTGTGCTTATTTATTTCCTGTGTGAAGTGTCTGTCCAGATCTTTTGCTCATTTGCCTTATTGAGTTGTCCTTTTATTATTGAATTTGAGTTCTTTAAATATCCTGGATATAAATTCCTCGTCACATTTATGTGTTGCAAGTATTTCCTCCCAGTCAATTGCTTCCCTATTCCTTATGTGTCTTTTTAAAAATTTAATTATTGTTCAAGTACAGTTTTCTGTCTTTTACTCCCATCCCAGTCCACCCCCCCCAGTGCTCCCCACCTCCCTCCCATTTCCACCCCTGTTAGTTTTTGTCCATGTGTCCTTTATACTTGTTCCTGTGAATCCGTCCCCTTTTCCCCTGAAATTCCCTCCCCTCGCCCCTCTGGTTCTGAACTTATGTGTCTTTTGATAAGTAGTTTTTAATTTTGATAAAATCTAATTATCAAGAGGTTTTTTTGTTTATTCCCTTGTCTCTTATAGTTATTGATTTCTGTGTCCCATTTAAAGAAATCATTGCCTACTTCCAGGGCAAGAAGATACTCACCTATGTGTTTTTTAGAAGCTTTATACTTTTCTTTTTTGTATTTAAGCCTAAAACTCATCTTAAACTAATTTTTCTATTTGGTGTGAGGTAGGGGTCAGGTTTTTTCACTTTGGGGTTTTTGGTTATTTTGCACCATTTGTTGGAAAGACTTTCCCTTGCCCATTGAATTGCTTTGGCACTTATACCAAAAATGAGTTGACCACAAAAGCCTGGGTTTATTTCTGGACTTGTTATTCTCTTTCATTGATCCGTTTATCTGTCCTTACCCTAGAATCACACTGTCTTTCACTATTGCTTTATAGTGAAGTCAGGTCATGTGGATCCTCCAACTTTTCTTTTTCAACGTTGTTTCAGCTGTTCCAGGTCTTCTGCGTTTTCATGTAAATTTTGGAATCAGTTAATTTTTGTTTTTATAGAAGCCTGCCAGGAGTATAATTAGAAGTTATGATGCATCTGTTGGTCATTTGGGAGAGAATTTTAACAGTAAACCATCTGAACACTGTTAGATGTGCCACTCAATGAAAATGGCAGAACCATCAGTTTATTTTGGTTTTGTTTTTTCTCGGCAGTGTTTCGGTTAGAGGTCTTACATGGTAACTTTTGGAGGTGAAAAAAGCACTATCCAGAAATATTAACTGCAGGCTGTGGTTTCCTCTAGGTGGAAGATTTCCGGCTATTTTATATATATGTTTTCACTTACATGTATTTTCTAAATTGTCTACAATGATTGTATATCAACTTTATAGTACGGAAACAAATTATAAAATAACAAGGGAACCAGTGTATTAGATCATGTATAATGCTGTTTTGTCATTGATTCGTGACAAATGCGGACTTTTGACTAGGCCCGGTGCGGCTTTCTCTATAACCGGGGCCCTGTCTTTTTTGCTTATACTGTTATGTATGGGTAGATGCTTAGTAAATTGTCTCTGGTGATGACATTAAACATTATTATACTACATTCTGTTTTTTATAGGCATTGAAATATATAGGGAACAAAGTAAGAAGGCAAAGGATGTGGGGAGGTGGACCAAAGAAAACCAAAATAGAAGAAGCAAGAGAGCTCCTGGCGTCTACCATCCTGACCCATGTACCAGTGAGTACCTTGGCAGTTGTCAATGATGATTGTGGGGCCTGTGCGTGGCTGCTAAAAAACTTTGAATGCCAGTTTATACTTAAAAGTCTAGTTCCTTAAGAAAAGAGAGAATCCTAAAGAGGACTAGATTGCTGCACTGGCAGTAATCTGCCACTGTCTATAGTTTATTTGTACTGGGAAGTTGTTTGCTGTATTGGAACCGTCATCATCATGTTTATTCTCTCCTGGTTCTTCTTTTAATGCATAGTTGTTGTTTTTTTTCTTACCTTCGTGTGTCTATTAATGCTGTACAACATGGTTTTGAAGTACAGAGATGGTACGTTAGGTGTTTTGGTTTTTATTGAGGCATAATCGATGTCCGGCATTTTATTAGTTCCAGGTATACAACATAATGATTCGATTTTTGTCTATATTGCAAAATGATAACCAGAGTAAGTCGAGTTAACGTCTGTCACCATATGTAGTTGTTGATGAGAACTTCCAGGATGTACTCTCTTAGCACCTTTCAAATGTGCAGGGCAGTATTACACACGGTAGTTGCCATGCTGTGCTTTATACCCTGTTGACCTGTTTATTTTATAGCTGGAAGTTTCTGCCTTTAGATCCGCTTGTCCTAGATGTTTTAAAATAACTTAAAGCAAGTTTACAGTGGCTTGCCCATATAGATATTCTTTATTGTGATAAAATATACATAACATAGAATTTACCATTTTAAGTATATAGTTCTGCAGCATTAAACACATTCTTATTGTTGCGTTTCTACAATAGATGCTTTTCAATATACTGGATAAGTTTGTCTCCTAGACCTTGAATTTGTGGAGTTCTCGTTGTCTAGTCTTCTTCACTTGCAGTGGGGATGCTCAGGTTCAGGCCAGCTAGGTTGATTAGCCTTGTCACTCAGTGGGTTACTGGTCAGAAAGAGAACTAGAAGCCACCTTCTGACCCTTGAACCAGTGCTTAATATTTACTTTTTATTAACATCATTAAACAGAGATCGGTCATGTTGGCATGTCAGCTGGAGTGATCCTTCCCCCACTCTTTCTTTTTTTAAAAATCTTCTTCCAAGGATATGTTTATTGATTTTAGAGAGGAAGGGAGTGAGAGAGAGAGAAACTTTGATGTAAGAAGAAAACACTGATCAGTTGCCCCTGTACAAGCCCCGACTGGGGATCGAACCCACAATCTTTTGGTGTGTGTGTCGAAGCTCCAAGCAACTTAGCCACCTGGACAGGACTTCTCCACCCTTATTTACTTTGTATGCTGTACTTTTTGTTACAGAATCATTTGTTAGACTGTCTTGTTAACCAGGTAGTCTGGTTTATGATGAGCTACCATGTGTACTCCTCGTAAATGATCTAATTCAGGGGTTGCAAACTCTGCCTAAGGGGCTGATTACAAATAATGGAAACCCAAGTGATCTGTGGGAGTGGACACTGACCACTTAAATGCATTCAAATCTGATCTTCTTATTTGCAACACCTTGTTAGCCAAACAATACAGGTCTCTGATTCTGCCCTTTGGCTGCCATTTATTTTTATGTGTCCTTGATCTAATTTAAATAATGAGAAGTCTTAATTCTAAAACTTGGTCTGACCTGAATTTTAAAGTTGGGTAATTAGAAAAACTGTTTAAAACTCGAAATACCAAAAATGAGAACTAGAAACAACAGAGGCTTTGGGGCCAGAGATTCAAGGGTTCAAATCCTGGTTTCTTACTTCCAGGCTGATTTACTTGGAGCAAATCTTATCTTTTCTAAGCTTCAGTTTTCTCATCTGTACAATGAAACCAACACCACTTGCTCACGTGGTCATTGTGATGATGCAGTGATGCAAACCATAGTTTCCTGGCCGTAGAGTTCCCATCAGGGGCCTCATTTACCTGTGTGCAATAACTGAGGAGACCTATTGGTTAGTTAAAGAGCCTTCGCTCATAGAGTGCTGGCTATCCTGGCATTTACTGTTTTCAGTTGATGAACCCAAACATTGCTCCTTTAATGCGACTGCAGTGGGCTTAAAGTTTTGTGATACATAGTTCACTGTAGTCAAAACAGATAAACCAGAAAAAGATCTTCATTTTCCAGAATGGTTTAGTGCAAAAGTACCTAAGAGTAACATTAGAGGTGGTTGTAGGTGACGCAGGGGTATCTCTACTTGAATAATCCTGTCCTCAGGGGAAGAAATACAATTAGCATGTCAAATTCATTTTTGTGGTATTTGGGATCTTACGGTATTATATGCGATGAAACATACTTAAAACTAAGTTTAAAAGTGGAATAAAAAATAATTACTTAAAGCGTTAAGATATGACAGTAATCACGATGGTAGAGCGACTTGGACTGTTAAGCAGTGGTTTAAATGTTTCTACATAGTGGGAGAAAGATGGGCAGGATACTTGGCATCCTCCAGCACTCGTACTTGAGGGCAGCCTGCAGGGGCTTTAGCTTGGAACCCTGACCTCTCAGTTCCCCAGAGGCATTGCTTCTTAAAGTACATTTTTCAGACTTGTAGTACCAGCCTTGCCTGGGAACTTGTCAGAAGCTCCTGCACTCCGAGACCTGCTCTCAATCAGGCGTCCTGGGAATGGGGCCCAGCAATCTGTTTTAAGAAGCCCTCCAGTGGTTCTGATCCACGCCGAAGTTTGGAGACTGCTGCTCTCACGGTTTCTCCAAGGTGCCCCAGACCTCTCTGTTCTCCGGTGTAATACTAGAAGGACTCCACAGGTTTTTGCTGATGACGGTTCTGTGTGGGTGCCCCACGCCCGTTTGGTGGCTCTTCTTTCCCTCCCTTTAGATAATCTGTGCAGGTCAATATCCCACAGACAGATATCTGAACTGTTACTAGCACTCTACCAAAAAGTGATGTCAGCCACTAGATTAGAGGGTTTCGGTTCTGTCAGTAGAAAAGATGGGCTAAGTCTTAACTAATTTTTTCAGTTTAGACCTAGAGTTTACTTCTCAGCATATAGTAGTTAAAAGAGGAGGGGAGTTGAGATGAGTTCTGGTTCAAGTGCTTTATAAAGTGCTGTGAGGTGTCTGCCAGTATTTATGCAAAATGAGAATATGAAATGGACTTCTGAGGGGGAAGGGACTAGTTAGTCAGAGAACGTGTATGAATGACCCATGGGCATGGGCAACAGTGTGGGGATTGACTGTGGGAGTGGGGGGTGGGCTGGGCAGAGGAGGGAAAAGGGCGAAAATCGGGACAACTGAAATAGAATAACAATAACAAAACCTTAAAAATAAAAATAATTAAATCTTAAAAAGAAAAGAAATTTTAAAAAGTTGAAAATTTTGTTAATGAAAGTTTGCTTCATTTTTTCATTAATTAGAGGGGCAAATACAACTAAGACAAGTTACATTGTCAAATTAACTTGCCAGATTAACATTAAAAAAAGTAAATTAGAGCTGAATGAAGGGCCAAACATCTTTGTAAATATTCATTGAGATCGTAAGTTACTTATAGCTGCCCAGACACTGGGCTTTTCTGCTCAGTGTTGTGGTTGTAGGGTTTTTGTTTGAGGATGGTCAAGAGAGACTTTTCTTTTTAAAGAACATGATTTAGTCCAGCCTTACTTATTGATGTCATTGTTTTGTGAGTACAAGAGGACAACCTTGCTTCTAGGGCTACTTTTCACTTTCAACCACATTCCAAAGTTAACACATTTCTTTTGAGATATTCCAAAGTTCTCTATAATAAGAGGAGAATAAACTGACCTAGAGAAGAAATGAAACTTTCTTTGGAAGAGAATAAAGTTTTTGGGATATATACAGAATTTCTTATATCCTATATTATTTAATATAATTCTTTAATTAGCATCCACGAAATGTATGAAGGAGACTAGTTGCTGATGTTCTTTTAAATCAAGATTCCCTGAATTAATCCATCATAGTGATAAACTCAATAGGCTGTCATTGAGATCTTACTCAAAAATTAAGGAAAGTAAAACAAATTTTATAATATGAATCTTCTGTAGAAAAGTATATAAAGTATTCCTTAGCATTGGCAGAAGATAAAGCCATACTGTCAGACCATGCTCATCATTTGGGATGTGGGAAAAGGACTTACCTCGGTTCCTGAGGTTTTTGTCTGCCCGGACAAACCAGTATAATTAGGTAACCATTTCTAATTTAACTTACTGATTGAGCCAGAGTCATTCATATGGATTTCGGGGTTTGTACTAGAGAAGATTGACTAGACATTTGCAGTGGACTCACTCATCAGTCTCTTCATTCACCCAATAGATATTTCAGTGCCAGACAATGTTTGGTACTATTCCTGTGATGTACTGTTGCATAACAAACATTTCCAAAGCTTAATGGCTCAAGATAACTGTTTGTTGCTCTCTCATGATTCTGTGGGGGTTTGACTGGGCTCAACAGTGGGAGAAGGGAGGTTTCGCATCCTGGGTCTCATAAAGTTGCAGACAGATGGCAGCTGAGTCCTTCCAAGGCTCCACCAGGCCTGACACCTACAGTGTTTTCTCCACTCGCGTCTCTGGCTCCTCGGTGCTTTTACAAGGACCCCTCTCTCCCCAGCGGAGTGTCCTAGACTTCTCACATGGTGCTTCAACACTCTAAGAGGGTGTGGAAACCACTAGTCTACAGGCCCACACAAAGGGGATGGTGGAGTCAACCTCTTAGTGAAGGACTGACGTGAAACATGGAGCGGCAAGGAGCCGGTGGTGGTCATCTTTGAAGACAGGCTGCCCAGGTGCAGAGTGCAGCGTGAAAGGGCATCACCTCAGCTCTCAGGAAGTTTACAGACCAGTTGAATTTTCCCAAATAGCGGGAATCATAGTTCGTTATTTCCTGATTTAAATATTACGGCATTGGTGCTTTTCTTGAGGTAACTTAAATGATAATATACATTGTCTCAAAAACTTTCTCTAATTTCTGAACTCTAGGTTAAAGAGTTCAATTTCCGAGCCAAGTGCATCTACACGGCGGTGATGGTGCGAAGAGTGATTCTGGCCCAAGGGGACAATAAAGTGGACGACAGAGACTATTATGGCAACAAGCGGCTGGAGCTGGCAGGACAGGTGGCGTAGTTGTTTGTGTCAGAGGTCTTCTTTTCTTTGATAAAATTTAACTTGGTATTCATTTTAAATAGGAGAAAGGGATAGTTGAATGGAATATACATTCATATATTTGAAATACAAACATTTCACACATGACTTACTATCTCTCACAAATTTAACTATGAAAACTCTACCTTAAGTCTTTAAATATGTTATTAGTATGTTATCTATATATTTTGTTGAGATGTTTACCCTCATTCTGTGTAATGTTCTGTTTGGTTCATGGCTGATGTTAGCAGGTGGGTGTTGGCCACTTTCAGATTGACCACTCTTCAGGGGATTATGGGTATCCCCACCACCATCAACCCCAATTTTTACAGTTTTCAATTGGAAAAAATTGTGCACTTAACAGAGTTCATTAAAAAAAAATGTTGGTTGTTTAGAGGAATAAAGAATGGAGTCAGGAGAGGGTAGAGAAGGAACTATCCTGTTGCTTAAAAAAATTGAAATTAAAACAAGGGTTCCCGAGTGCAAGAAAACATTGCTTTATAAACAATGTAAAGACATAAAAGGCATTGTGTTGACTAAAATGTGTAAAGACAATAGCTGCTAATTTCACACCCCCTGGGATGAGGGAGCATAAATGTGCTTCGGCTTCAGATAACAGAGCCGCAGCCACTGGCCAGGCCGGTCCACAGAGCTTTCCCTCCGTCTCTCTGCCACCTGAGGGCTGGCCGGCCGCCGCCAGCAGAGGTGTTAGCAACACGTACCGTTTCAGGCTTAATCTCTTCACCTACCTTTTCTTTTCCGGTAATGTGTTCATTATTTACTGAGTATTACTCTATTCTTTGTCTGCAAATTTTTTGTTTCTAATGCAGCTTGCTTTGTAAGGGTGAGATAGGAAACGGCACCAAAATCCGGCACCCTGGAAAGCCAGGGATTTCCACCCAGTGACAAAAGAATGCCGTCTTGACTTCAGAGATTGCCTAATCCCAGCTGTTCTGATAATGTAATTAAGGCTGCCTAATGTCTTTAATTTTGCAACCAGTTTGTGTGAAAAGGAGAATTTGGCACTCTGAAGGCTTAAACACTAAATAGCAATCTCAAGACGCCTAATTAGAATTCTCTGACATTAAGCTAATTGGTGAAACTGTATTTCAGCAGCTTAACTTCTTTATTAATTTTTTAGGATTTTCATTGAAAATCAATTGATGAGCTGTCAGCATTTTTTCCTTAAACGTAATGTGCTCTTTAGTGTTCCTGCCTTCAGCTGAAAGGCCTCGTACGTGCAATGAAAGGTATTGAGTATTATCACCAGCGTTCCATCCCTTTTCATCATTTCACTCTTGACCTACATAAGGTGGCTTATTGTGTGCCTTGGCCTTGTAGTGTCTCACTGCTCTGTGAACCGGAGAACACGTCTCTGAAAGTGAAAATTCAGGGGTGGAGAAATCTGTTAATGAGGCGGTGGCTCTGATGAGTTTGCTCGCACTTTTTACCTGTTCGGTAGCAGGAGCACTCCTGTGTGTTTGAAGTGGGGGCTACAACCAGTTCCGCTGGGATCTAAAAAAAAACCTGGGTCATAATTTGAGACACAAAAGTCTAAGTGTGAGGGACTAATTAAACTGGAGCTGAGCTTTTTTGGTGTTAAGGGCATTCGCTTTTGTGAAGAATGCTTATTCAAGTTCCTTTTGCCAGTTTCCACAGGAAGTTGCTGAAATGGGCCGCTTCCTCCCTCTCACCCCTCTGCACCTGCCTCCATTCCCAGGGCCTTTCTTTCCATGAGTGAAACTGCTAGGTCTGAGTGGGAGAAAGTATTAAGCTCTCAGAGGAGGAAGTTTTCTTTTTAGAACACTCCTGACTGGGTAAATTCAAGTCCGGGATCCTGGATTTCCTATCTGCAGAGTCGATTTTAGTAGAAAAGTGGAAGGCTGTGTCTAACTTCACAAGTGGAGTTAGGGGAAAAGCGTGATATCATATTCCACTTAGGAAATTCTTTATTCACTGATGGCTGGAGGAGAAGACTCATTTACTTTGAATAGTTTCACATTGAGTTAAAAAGCTACCGTGGGCAATAAACGTTCAAGAACATAGAATGGAATTTAGAAAATCTTTAGCTCACAAGATTTCTCTGAATTTCAGAATTCCTATTTAACTAAATAATGAGTGTGTATTTTCCTGTTTTACAAATATTAACATTTTTAAAAAGATTTTATTTATTTATCTTTAGAGGGGAAGGGAGGGAGAGAGGGAGAGAAACATCAATGTATGGTTGCCTTTTGTGCGTCCCCTGCTGGGAACTGGCCTGCAGGGAACCAGTCTACAACCCAGGCATGTGCCCTGACTGGGAATCGAACCCCAATTGTCTGGTTCACAGGCCCGTGCTCAATCCACTGAGCTACACCAGCCAGGGCCAAATATTAACATTCTTATTTATATTGTCTGGTGTCCATATACAAAAGTTTCTACAAATAGGATTGCCTAAATCTTTAACTTAACTGGAGAACATCAAACTAGTTTCCCAAATATTTGTTCATTGCATTGTATGCGAGTTGCTGGTGATCTTTATCCTGTGACTTAGTATCAAACTTTAAAATTTTTGTCTAGATTATCTAGTGGGTGTAAAGCGGCATCTCTTTCTGGTCTTAATTTGCATTTTCTTCACTCCTAATGAGATTAAACCTTTTCATATGCTTCTGGACTTCCTGTGTTTTCTTCTTTGAAATGCTGTTTTTGTTGTGTCATTTTCCTTACGGGATTTCGAGGGTTCCCCCCCCCCTACATTTTGGTTCCTAGTTTTTTTTTGTCAGTTATGTGTTGCTGGTACCTTCTCCCAGTCTGGATTCTTTTTCTTTTAAAAAAAACCCTACTTGGTGGTGTTTTCTGATGTCTAGAAGTTTATCATTTTAATTGTGGTCAGTTTTATCAACCCTGTTTTTAAATACTGCTTTTTTATATTTTAAACTTAAGTCTTTGGTATTTGTTTGTTAGCCATCTGGACCATTGGAATGAAGAAAACCATCCCATTTCAGTTGTTTTTCAAATGAATAACCAGTCCCAGCACCATCTATTACATAGTCTTTCATTTCCTCGGTGGTCTGAAGAGCCACCTGTCTGATGTGACAAGTTTTAATATGTGTGTACGTTTGTGTCTGGACTCTGTTGTGCCCACTGGTCAGTTTGTCTATGCATTCATGAGTCCATTCACTTTTTTTCAGGAGTGTCTTATCTGTTTTAGGGTCTTGGCTTTGCATATAAAGTTTAGAATTAATTTTCATTAAAAATCTTTAAATGTACAAAATTTCAAATATATACAAACATAGAGGTAGCTATTAAAGTAATATTACCCATGACTCATGTGGCTCAGTTGGTTGGGTGTTGTCCCACAAAACAAAAGGTTGCAGGTTCGACTCCAGATCAGGGTACCAGCCTGGGTCCCCTCTCAGCTGCGGCAGGTGTGGGGGGAACTGGTAGGTGTTTCTCTCACATTGTTGCTTCTCTCCCCCTCTCTCTCCCTTTCTTCCCCTCCCTCTAAAAGTAAACAAACAAAATTTTTAAAAAAGTAAAACAATATTACATTTTGAAATTTAATAGTAAGTATTAAAAGTAGAATTAGGTAATAAAATTCACCCCTAGATACCCATCCTGCAACTTCAGTTATCATCAATAGAAGTCGGTCTTGTTTCACCTCCGCCCTCTTTGACTCTTTCCCACTCCTTCCATTCCACAAATGGGGTTGTTTAAACGAAGTCAAGTCATCAATCAAATCACTTTTTAAATAAATTTATTTTTTATTTTTAAAGTTTTTTAAATTACAGTGTACATATTACTTTGTATTAGTTTCAGGTGTATAGCCTAATGGTTAGACAATCACATAGTTTACAAAGTGATCCCCAAGATATTTCTAGTACCCACCTGGCACCATACGTAGTTATAACAGTATCACTGACTGTATTTCCCATACTGTACTGTACATGCCCATGACTATTTTGTAACCACCAATCTGTACTTCCCAAACCCTTCACCTTTTCCACCAAATCCTTCAGCCCCAGCCACCATCAGTCTGTACCTACGAGTCTGTTTCTGTTTTGTTTGTTCATTTATATTGTTCTTTAGGTTCCATACATAAGTGAAATCACATGTTATTGGTCTTTCTCTGACTGACCTACTTCCCTTAGCACAATACCCTCTAGACCCATCCATGCTGTTGCAAATGGTAAGACTTCGTTTTTTTTAATGGCTGAGTGATATTCCACTGTATGTGTGCACCAGTGCTTTTTTGTCCACTTGTCTGTTGGTGGGTACTTGGGCTGCTTCCATAGCTTGGCTATTGTAAATAATACTGCAGTGAACATAGGGGCGCATGTATTCTTTTGAATTAGTGTTGTGGGTTCTTTTGGACACATACCCAGAAGTGGAATTTCTGGGTCATAAGACAGTTTCACTTTTAATTTTTTGAGATACCTCCATACTATTTCTACTGTGGCTGCACTAGTCTGCGTCCCACCAAACACATTTCTCCATGTTTTTGCCAACACTCGTTTGTCAATTTATTAATGATAGCCATTCTGACAGGTTCAATGAGGTGATATCTCACTGTGGTTTTAATTGTATTTCCCTGACGATTAGTGACCTTGAGCATCTTTTCATAAGGTTGTTGGCCATCTGTATGTCCTCTTTGGAGAAGTGTCATATATGCCCTTCATCCATTTTTTAAGTTGGAGCGTTTGGCTTTTTGGTGTTGAGTTTTAGAAGTTCTTTATAAATTTTAGATATGAAACCCTTATTAGATGCATCATTGGTAAATATCTTCTTCCATTCAGTGAGTTGTCTTTTCATTTTGATGGTTCTTTACTGTGCAAAAACTTTTTAGTTTGATGTAGTCCCATTTTTTTTCTTTTGTCTCTCTTGCCTGAGCAGATATTTCAAAAAAAAACACTACTACAAGAAATGGCTGAGATTTTTCTTCTCCCTGCCTGAGGACATGCCAACTGATTTTAAAGAGAGGAGAAGTGGGGGGGGGACAGATACATTGATGTGATAGAGAAAGATTGATTGGTTGCCTCTTGCACGCACCCCAATTGGGGACCAAATCTGCAACTCAGGCATATGCCCTGTGACCTTTCGGTTTATGGGATGATGCTCCAACCAACTAAGCCACACCAACCACAGCTGAAATGTCTGAGATTTTACTTCCTATGTTTTCTTCTAGGATTATTATGGTATGGAGTCTGACATTTAAGTCCTTAATCCATTTTGAGTTAATTCTTATATATGGTGAAAGAAAATAGTCTAATTTTATTTTTACTTTTTGCACATCTTCAATTTTCCCAACACCATTTATGGAATAGATTGTCTTTTCCCCATTGTATGTTCTTGCCTGTTAATTGACCATATGGGCATGGGTTTATTTCTGGGCTCTATTCTGTTCCATTGATCTGTATGTCTGTTTTTATGCCAGTATCATGCTGTTTTGATTACCCTGGCCTTGTATAGTTTGATATTAGGTACCATAATCTCCTCCAACTTAGTTCTTCAAGATTGTCATGATATTCAGGGTCTTTTGTCATTCTGTGTAAATTTTTACATGACTGATTCTAGTTCTGTGAAATACGCTTTTGGTATTTTTATAGGAATTGCATTGAGTCTATAGATTGCTTTGGGTAGTACAGATATTTTAACAATGTTGATTTTTCCTATACATAAACATGGTATATGCTTCCATTTTTTTGTATCTTCAATTTCACTTTTCAGTGTCTTCCAATTTTTCAAGTACAGGTCTTTTCCCGCCTTGGTTAAATTTATTCCTAGGTATTTGTTTATGTAATTCTAAATGAGATTGTTTTCTTGGTTTCCCTTTCTGGTAGTTTATTATTGGTGTATAATTTCTAGAGATTTATTTTGTATACTGCCACTTTATTGAACTTATTTATTAGTTCCAGTAGTTTTTCTGGTGGAATCTTTAGGGTGTCAAATTATTTTAATATCTCGGATAGCAAATCACATTCTGTAAATGCTTTAAAACATATCTCTAAAACATAGGACTTTTAAGAATTAAAACACCATATTTAAACCTAAAATTTTAAAAGAATGATTGCTTTAAATCATCAAGGATTCATTGTGTGTTTAAATTGCCCTGATTTCTTTATAAATACTGATGTTTTCCCTGGCTGGTGTGGCTTAGTTGGTTGGAGCATTGTCCCATACACCGTAAGGTATCATTCCCTATCTGGACACATACCTAGGTTGAGGGTTCAGTCCCTGGTTGGGGCTCAAATGGGAGGCAAGCAATCATTGTTTCTTCTCTCTCCCTTCCCCCCCTCTTTCGAAAATAAATAAATAAATAAATAGACATATAGTTGTTTACTGTGTGATTGTTCAAATAGCATCCAAACATGTCTCTTATACTGTTTGGTTGACATGTCTCTTAAATTCTTTTTGATCTGTAGGTTTTCCCTCCGTGTGTATTTGAAAAAAACTAGACCTTTAGCCTAAAGAATTTCCCGTATTCTGTGTCCCCATGTGATGGCATCCCTGTGGTGTCATTTAACATATACTGGTATATTCTCAAACATTTATCTGTCCTCTAGATTTCTTGTAGTTAAAGTCAGAGGCTAGATCCTATTCAAGGCCTTTTTTTTTTTTTTTTCCCCCTTAATACTGTGTTTGGTTATATCTGCTTCATGTGCCCCTGGAGTTGGTCACTGAGTTTAGGCGTTTGGCGCCCTGACTACCGTTATCAAGTTCCCTATCAGCCTTTCTCCTGATGGTTTTATTTAGCTGCTGCTGCTTATTATTCCTTGGTTCATTGTTTAATTAGGACATGCAAAATAATGATCATTTAATAGTTTCGTTCTCTCCACATTTTTAAGCTGGAATTTTTCAATACAAAATATTTTCCTTAGCTTCTCTTTGTCTACTCTGAGACATAATTTATAATTTATATAGAAAATGCAGATGAATACATGCTGGATTTTTTTAAAACCAGTTTGCAGAAGATCGATTTAGCTCTCTAGTTTCCTCCAGAGGTGCACAGTGAAGGGTTTTCTTTTCTTCTTTCCATCATTATAAACTGTGAACCTTTAGCATTTTTATTTAAATTTTAGAATTACTTTATTTTTTTAAAAGCCTGCTAGTTTTTTTTTCTTGAGAGCACATTTGAATTTGTATATCAATATCTAATAATACTGTCTTTTTATCCATGAACGTAGTATATCTCTCCTATTGAGATTCTCTGTAATTTCTCTCATTAATTTTTTTAAATAAAACTGTTTTTGTATATTGGCCTGTATCTTGTAAGCTTGCTGAATTCATTTATTCTGGTAGAGTTTGTTTTTTTCTTTTTTAAAGATTCTTTGGGATTTTCTGTGTGGACAAACATGTTATCTGCAAGTAATAAAACATTTATTTCTTTATTCCAACATCCATATCTTATATTTCTATTGCATCCCCCTGTTGTACTGAATGGCATCCCCAATACAGTGTTGAACAGGAATGGGCATTCTCTCTGTTTCACCAATTTTATAAAGGAAAGCTTTCGGTTTTCTGTCCTTCCCTGTGGTATCTGGGTCTTGATTTGTATCAGTACAGGCTCCTTGGCCCGAGCAGGTTTCCTGCCCTGCCCCAGGGAAAGATGGTTTTGACTTCTCCTCTTGCATCTGTCCGTGTACCTTTTCCTGAGATCAGTGGTCAGAGGCCTTTGCTGGCCTTCTTCCAGCAGTAGACCACCGTTGCTAATTACCAGGTGCATGGCTTGTGGTGGGTGCAGGGAGAGGGCCTCTTCCACCCTCTTCCTCCTCATACAGCTTTGCTTTCACCCCTCCCTCCTCTCTTAGTGCAGGAGGCCACCTTTGCCTGGGTCCATCACCTGGAGGGTTACCTGGCCCTTCTCCAGTGACTTAATGGTTGTGCTTCATGTGAGAGAAACTCCAGGGAAGTAGATTGGATTCTGGTGCTCGTTCCAACAAAGGGCTCTCTCTTGGGTCTTACTTCCTTTGATTTACTCCAGTGTTTCGTGAGCACTCATGGGAAAGAACTTGTGAGTGTGGATCCCTTGCATCTGGGGCCCTGAAGTGTTCTAAGCTTTCATGGTAGCCCACGTTTGGCATTCAAGAAGTCCTTACCATTTTAGTTGATTTCTTTTTTTGTGGCAGACATCTGCTCTGTCATGTGTCCCATCTGTCCTTGGAGAGATGTGTGCCCTTTGGCAGTTCAGTTCACCTGGCTGTTTCAACCATACTTCTCTGTCAGAGTCAAGAATTTATGATTTAGTAGTTGATTCATCTTCTTTAAAATTATGCGAGTGGGAAGGATGTTGTTTGGTGGCTTTCTGCGTGGAACTCAGATGTCTTAAGATCTCCACTTGCTTTGCAAAGCCCAGCCTTCCTTCCACCTCCACTACTCACTTATTTCATGAAATCATTGATTAATCCTGTCTCCACATAACCTTAGAGTAGGGCCTTAAACACTTTGTTTCTTTTTCTAGCACAGACTGAACTAACTCGTTTTACATTGTATTTTGGTCTCTAGAGCATTTACATCATTCCCTGCTTATGCAGGCTTGTAGAACCCAGGCACTGGTCTGAGGCCTGGAGAGTGATGAGTGAGGGTGGATCATCAAACAAAGAAAAGTACCTCTTTATCAAGTTGAATTTTGAAATATATTTTTTTCAGTTTTAAGCTGTTTGTTCATTTCATTTTTTAACAAAGTTTAATAAAAACCTAAAATGTATTAAATAAGCTAGTAATACATTTTGAAAGTTCACCATATACCTTTTTTTTCTTTAGCTTTTATCTCTTCTTTTTGAAGATTTGTTTAAAAAATTTAATTCTGAAATGAAGAAAATTGCAGACCAGGTGATTCCGAAGCAAAGAGCCGCCCAGTTCGATGTCGTCAAGCACATGCGCCAGGACCAGATCACCAACGGCATGGTGAATGCCATTTCTACCGTGAGTCCTCAGCCGCTCGTTTAGATTCTGTGAGTCAGGGCCCGTAAATCTGTTCGGTGGAGTGGCAATTTAAAGCACTATAAGAATCTAGGTGAAATGTGTGTGTGCATGTGTGTGTCTTCAAGGATGCTCACAAGTAAGACATTTGCTACTTTGAAAGATAGTCTACAGTTTAAGTGGTATCAGCATGAATTTTGTTGCTATATGACTTTACTGCCAAATTATAGTTCCTGTTATACGAGGCAATAAGGAAAAGATATACTCTTCCATAAAGGAAAAATTTTTTAGTTTCACCATTAATAGCCATTGTTTTCATGGATGTCTTTCTGTATTTTTTCCTGTAATAAACTGGATACGTAGGGTTGTTAATGATAACTTGTGTCTGTAACAGTACAAAATGTTTCATTTTATTGTAGGTTTATATTCCTCAGAGGGCTATCAGCTCTTCGCCACATGGAGATAAATTCAGGCTTTTGCAGCTGCTGTGTATTCAGGGCCCTGGCTGTTCATAAAGGGTCATCAGATAGGTTCTTGCTCCTTTTCTTAAAGTGTAACAACTATAGGTCTATCTGATAAAGTTTAGTTTACGTTTTGTGTGCCAGACATAAAATTAGTTTTATGGATGGGATTTTTGCCTCAACAAAAGACTAGTATATTGTTACATGTTAGTTCCCTTAATGAGAGAATCAGTGGCAGACCTGCTGCAGTGCTCGGCTTCAGAAATTTGCAGGGCCTGGGAACAAGCCCCTGCAGTGGCGGTTGCAGCTGGCCCTGCGGAGGTCCAGGCTTTTGTGCTTACTTAGGCACACGGAACTCTTGTGGCCCGAGTTTTCCTGACTTGAGATCCCTGGGTATTTGAAGAGAAGCCTCCAGAGACCTCTTGAACACGCTTCTGTGAGGATTACTTTTTCTTGCTTCCAGACTCGTGATTTTCAGGTCATAATAGTTGTTTTGAGTAGTTCTTTGCCCCTCAGTGATACCGCTTTACCTCCCAGAGAAGACTGCTATTTAGAAAAATCACTAGTGGCCTTGTCCTCCAGCCTGTGGGCAACCCGAAAAAGGTCAGCTTCTCTAATTCTTTGTTACCCTTAGTAGAGTATTTTCAACAAACAAATGTTCTCAGAGGAGCAGTGTTAGACCCTGTCTGTCCCCCTGCTCTCCCCTTGTAATGCCCCTGCGGAATACAAGAGCACATTCTCTGGCTGAACATCTTGGCTTTCCTCCCCACCGACTCCTCACTTGCCAGCAGCTGCTGCCTTATTTTAGTTCAGTGCAGAATATTTATTTACCTTACTCTTACTCTCTGAGCATGAATCAGTTTACGAGGCTCATTCTCATTCAAAGCATAAAAGGAGTTAATGGAAAAAGCAGTAAAGAAGTTAACTTGTGGGATAAATGTGTTTGCTTTATTCTTTGCTTTGTAATAGAGTTTCTTAGAATTTAGCTCTTTTCCGTGTTATCAAAAACTTCAAGTTTCTGAAGTGATAGACTTTCACTATAATAATGGTTAAACTTTAATTTGTGAGAGAGCACCTCAAAGTCACATATTTTAATTCAAACAGATCATCTATCTTATCTGCTTCCAAGTCCTTAGCGATTTTCCTACTAGGAGAATTTTTAATGCAGGATCCATGAGTCCTGCCCTGAAATTGAATGAAAAAATGTTGTGTTCATGATTGATGTGTAATTTTTTTTCCCACGAGAATAGTCGTAGCTTTTATCAGATTCTCAAAAGAAAAATACAGAACCACTGTGTGGCAAGTGAAATTTTTTTTGCTTTTGAATCAAAAAGATTATTGAATTATTTTATATTTTGCTTTTCTCTGCATAGTATTTTCTATCATTAACTCATGTTATCATAGATTTAAAGTTTAACAGTTCCTAACCTTAATCTTTCAGTTATCCTTGAGAATATTTAATAAGTCCAAGTAATACAACTATAAAATAATATATAGGGGTGGGCAGAAGTAGGTTTATGGTTGTTCACATAGAAACTAATACAATAATTAGTAAATAATAGTACAAGAACAAGCTTTCATGTACTCACAATTGTAAACCTACTTTTGTTCACCCCTATATTTAATGTATTTAAAACATAGAACGTAAAGTATGTTTAATGTTCAAGATATATTTCATATGGGTCTATTTTAAGATTGATGTAATAGTCACAGAGGATACATAATATTTTCAATATGAATATACATTCAGTTTTTAACTTTAATTAAGAAGCCTACAGTTTATTCATTATTCTTAATAACTGCTATTAGAGTTATTTTGGGGTTGCTATATTTTCCTCTACTTAAGACTGATTTTTGGAAGACATTCAAATAATGGCACACTCCACCATGAAATTAGCTCTTGCAGCTTTATACTAGTTTTACCTTAAATGTGTGTAGGAATTGCTACTGTTCTCCTAGTCAGCTTATTGATTCCAGTGGAAATCTCTTGTTTGGGATATGAGTAGTTCTTCAGAAAATAACTACTTTAAGGGCATCCTGAGATGATTCATAGACATGAGTAATATTCATTAAATTCCTAGAAAACCCCGGCAAGTGATCTGGCTAGATTTTAATTTTAATTGTGACATTTTGATTGCTGAATACATCATGGCTCTGATTTCATAAACATGTAATCCCTATGATGAACTTCTCAGAGTAACTTCAACATACCAGGCAATTTACGAAAGATCAAGAGTAGCCTGTCTTTCTTCTCTCTACAGGGAAATTGGTCTCTAAAGAGATTTAAAATGGACCGTCAGGGTGTGACTCAAGTACTGTCTCGCTTGTCATATATATCTGCACTGGGTATGATGACAAGAATCTCTTCCCAGTTTGAAAAAACAAGAAAAGTGAGTGGTCCTAGATCCCTCCAGCCATCTCAGTGGGGAATGCTCTGTCCTTCGGACACTCCTGAAGGAGAGGTAAGGTGCTTGAGTCTCTGTGCTGTGTCAGAGTAAGTTGGTGGGGTTCTGCTTCTGCTCCCATTCTCCCAGGCCATATATTTTTTGGGGGATCAGCCCCTTATGTGGTCAAGAAATATTAATGCAGCTTGTCAGGATGACATCAGTATCATTCCAGAATCAGCACCTACAGAAACATTTGATTTAGTATCTCACCTACATAGAAATATGGTCCAAATTTTCTGCCTTGTTTAGTTAACCCAGGAACCCAGCCATTCAACGGAGGGGAGACAGAATTTGAAGGAAAATTGAGAAACCCATCACCTTTGCTACGAGGAGCTCTTTTTAAGCTTTCCCTTATTGTTTGAGATGTCCTGAGGGGGGTCACAGTTGCATCTGCAGCAAAGCAGGAGCACACGGCCCAGACCTAACGTGGATTCCGACTCAGTTTTGCAGGATACACAGGCACTTACCTAAACACTAAACCATGGGGTTTAGAATTGTTTATTTCCATGCATCCCCTACCTCCTGTATCATGGCCATGTCTCCTTCGTGCTGACCACTGTTGGTTTCACTTGAGGGTAGTCATTCTAAATTGTAAACTTCAGGAGGGAGGGTCCTTGTTGGCCTCACCATTGCATCCCGAGCTCCTAGCACAGAGCCTTGCTCAGAGTAAAGGCTCCATAAAGATATGTCGAATGAATAAGTAAGTTAATTATGACAATAAAAGATGTAAGTTTCAACATGTAGGAATTTCCTATGACTTGGGAGAGGTGAAAAATAGGAGTTCTTGCAGGGTTATGATTCTTCAGAAAGTACCATTCTTGCCCTGGCTGATGTAGCTCAGTGGATTGAACTCGGTCTGCGAAACAAAGGGTCGCCAGTTCGATTCCAGTCAGGGCACATGCCTGGGTTGCAGACAAGGTACCCAGTAGGGGACACATGAGAGGCAACTGCACATTGATGTTTCTCTCCCACTCTTTCTCCTTCCCTTCCCCTCTCTCTAAAAATAAATAAATAAGTAAGTAAATAAATAAATAAGAAAGTTCCATTCTCCCAATTTATCTTAAACCATATGGAAATTCACACTGCTACATAAAATTATGCAGCTTATTAAATTTGCATAACTTAAACATCTTGAGCTTTGAAACACTAGATTTCCCAAAGATTGCTTCGGCTGACCCGATAATGTAACTGTTTTGTGCACCACTACAGCAGGTGGCTGTTCGGAATGGAAAATATAATCTTTACATGACACACATCTCATTGTTTTCTTTCTATTTGCCAAATTATATACTTATTTATATTTCGGTTTTGGTGGGGTTTTTTGGTTGTATAGAAGTTTAAAATTGTTATATTTTCTTTTCATTTTGAAATTATTTTAGACATGCAAAATAGTTACAAAAATAGCACAAGGAATTTCCATAACCCTTCACCCTAGCCACCTCCAAATGTGAACATCTCAGCCGTAGCATGGTTCTCAACCTCGGGAAACTCCAACTGGTAACTACTGTGCACAGCGCACCTCCTTCAGATGTCATCAGTTGTCCCACTCATGTCTTTCTCTGATGGAGGATTACACATTGCTTTCAGGTGGAAGGTCTCCTTAGTTGTTCATCTGGAGCAGTGCTTCCGTCTTTCTTTGCCTTTTATGACCAAGAAGCTTTATAGAATAGTGGTCAGCTATTTTGTGGCCTCTCATTTTAGGCCAGAAGTTTTATATTTTATGTGTCCACGTTTATCAATGCTTTCCTTTACTGCTTGTAGACAATGTCATCCTAATGACTATGATGTTCTGTTGTTGGGGAGTAACAACTTATACAGTCATTTTCTCTTGGGGGCAGCATTTATGATGCTGTCGTTATTTGCCATTTCAAATAGTCGTGTACTAAGCATTTCTGTGACTAAATCTACGTTTGTATTGTTGCTTGTTAACTTAGGACAACTTCCTGTGGGTTAAAGGGTATGTATATTTTTAAGGCTTTTGTATGAATTGCTAACCTGTCCCCTGCAAGGTTATGCTGCTTTACATTGCCGTTAACAGAAAGTGTCGAACTATTTTTAGACACGAAATGTACTTCGCATCACTAGTGTTCCTTCTTAGAAATGACTGTCTTTTGTGTTTCAGGCGTGTGGTTTGGTTAAAAACTTGGCCCTTATGACTCATATCACAACTGACATGGAAGATGGGCCCATTGTTAAATTAGCCAGTAACCTGGGAGTAGAAGATGTGAATTTATTATGTGGAGAAGAGCTCTCTTACCCAAATGTGTTTCTTGTCTTCCTCAATGGTGAGCATATTATTCCACAGGGGACCCGTTGATCCTAAACAGCCTGTGGGGGAGGGGGAGAATCTATTATCATTCATGTATTTAAAATACAAATGTACTTTAATCCTGGGCTTGGGTTGGCCTTAATTTAAAGGTAGAAAAATAGTAACAGAAACAGTTATGCCATTGCCTCTGGGCCATCCAGGTTCTGCAAGGATACAGCTCTCAGAGCCAAAGGCTAGCATAGTGGAGGCTGGCTGCTGTCCGTCCTTCTGCAGCTGCCAGCATATGCACAGTGGAATAAGCCTCGACGTGGTGCCTTTAAGTTCAAGTTAAATATGTGAGGCATTCTACAAAAATGTGCAGATCAGCCCTGACAGTGAGTTGACTTATATTCACTCACCTGATAATAGATTGTCAACAGCCTGTGGCAAGAGAGTCCCTTTCCTTCCACTCATGCCCTTGTTACTTTTTTCACCCGCCCCTTTCCACCCCCTTCAGGGTGTTCTAAAGGCTCATCAGTAAGTGTGCCTTGTTCAGTTTATTTGAGATTCGGTGGTCGGGTGCCTGCCCTCTCACCATTGTGTTCCATGTGCTCATGGTGACCACTTAGCTCTCACACTCCTCTTCCTCCCGCTCTGCCAGGCATTAATCCTTCCTCCCACTGTGCGAGGCATGGGCCAGTGAGTAGGAAAACAGGGCTGTTCACTGCCTGCCTCATTCAGTGTATTCCAGGGGCCGACACCGAGAGAGCCAGTGCTTTTCACCTGCAGCCGGTACTGGTCTGAACCCACAGGCTTACCCTGGAGGCAAATTCACTCTCCTGATTTCACAGATGATGATCACAACAGGCGATTTAATGACAGCAGTTGTTAGGTGCTAGGCAGAGTTCTAAGTGCTTTACATAAGGTCAACTCATTTAACCCTCACATTGGCCCTTTGGAAATGATAGAGCCAGTATTCAAACCCAGGGGTTTGGACCCCAGTTTATGACCCCAGCATGGTGCTGACAGATGAGGAAAATGAGACTGACTTTTCCAGGGTTGCTCTTCCATCCTCTGGTAAGGCTGGCCCTAGACCCAGGGCCCTCGGACGGCCCTTAACGTTCCACTGTGTGGCTTCTTTACAGCCCTGTCCATGGGCTGGAGGCGTTACCGGTATTTTCAAATGACTACTCACTGCTGCTTATCCTTTTTATTGAGTGTGTAATTTAAATCCTGTAGGATTTATTTTTTATTTCTCTCTTAAATATTCCTCTTTCTGCCTAGGTAACATCCTGGGTGTCATTCGAGACCATAAGAAACTAGTGAATACATTCCGACTGATGCGGAGAGCAGGATACATCAATGAGTTTGTTTCCATCTCAACAAATCTCACGGACCGTTGTGTCTACATTTCCTCTGATGGAGGAAGGTTGTGCAGGTATGAGTTGCTAAAAAGAGTCATTAAGAATCTCCTTATGTTCATTTTTGAAAGAAAGACTTTATTTTTGAATCCGCTTTAACCTCTTTCATTGTTAAGATAAATTTCATTCATTTAGCGAACACCTCATGAATATGCATTCTCAGTACTGGGGATTCAAAGATTAATGAGAGTCTCTGCCCTCAGAGAGCTCAGTCTGCTGGCAAATGCAAAATTGATACTAATAACAGCCAACTATGTTAGTAGTAAGTGATAGCCATTATTTATTATTTTAGTGGCTATATTACATGTAAGGCTTTAACTACATTCAACCCTTTATGGTTCAATTATTATTTTCATTTAACAAATGAGGAACTAGGGTTTTGTGAAACTAACTAACTTACCCAAACCTAGCTACTGGTGGAGTCTGCTTTTTACTCAAAAATCTTTAGAGTTTGTTTGACTCCAACAATTATGATTTTATCCACTACATTCTGTTGCTGTGAACTGAGTGTTGAAGGATGTGTAAGATTATAGTACTTTAAAATTTTTTTAATATGTTTTATTGATTATGCTATTACAGTTGTCCCATTCCCCCCTTCATTCCCCTCCACCCTGCACACCCTCTCCCACCCACATTCCCTCCCCTTTAGTTCATGTCCATATGTCTTAAGTTCTTTAGCTTCTATATTTCCCATATTATTCTTGCCCTCCCCCTGTCTATTTTCTACCTACCATCTATGCTACTTATTCTCTGTACCTTTTCCCCCTCTTTCCTCCTCCCACTCCCCTGTTGGCTAACCCTCCATGTGATCTCCATTTCTGTGGTTCTGTTCCTGTTCTAGTTGTTTGCTTAGTTTGTTTTGTTTTTGTTTTAGGTTTGGTTGTTAGTAATTGTGAGTTTGCTGTCATTTTACTATACATGTTTTTTATATTCTTTTTCTTAGGTAAGTCCCTTTAACATTCATAAAATAAGGGCTTGGTGATAATGAACTCCTTGAACTTGACTTTATCTGAAAAGCACTTTATCTGCCCTTCCATTCTAAATGAAAGCTTTGCTGGATAGAGCAATCTTGGATGTAGATCTTTGGATTTCATGACTTGGAATACTTCTTTCCAGCCCCTTCTTGCCTGTAAGGTCTCTTTTGAGAAATCAGCTGACAGTCTGATGGGAACTCCTTTGTAAGTGACTGTCCCCTTATCTCTTGCTGCTTCTAGAATTCTCTCCTTCATTTTAATCTTGGCTAATGTAATTATGATGTGCCTAGGTGTGTTCCTTCTTGGGTCCAACTTCTTTGGTACTCTCTGAGCTTCCTGGATTTCCTGGAAGTCTATTTCCTTTGCCAGATTGGGGAAGTTCTCCTTTATTATTTGTTCAAATAAGTTTTCCACTTGTTGCTCTTCCTCTTCTCTTTCTGGCACCCCTATGATTTGGATGTTAGAATGTTTAAAGATGTCCTGGAGGTTCCTGAGCCTCTCCTCATTTTTTTGAATTCTTCTTTCTTCATTCTTTTCTGTTTAGTTGTTTCTTTCTTCCTTCTGGTCCACTCCATTGATTTGAGTCCCAGTTTTCTTCTCATCACTATTGGTTCCCTGTGCATTTTCCTTCATTTCACTGAGTGTAGCCTTCATTTTTTCATCTAATTTAAGACCAAATTCAACCAATTCTGTGAGCATCCTGATCACCAGTGCTTTAAAGTGTGCATCTGATAGGTTGGCTATCTGTTCATTGCTTAGTTGTATTTGCTATGGAGCTTTGATCTGTTCTTCTGTTTGGGCCATTTTTTCTGTCTTATCGTGCCTGTTACGTATGAATGGTGGAGCCTTAGATGTTCACCAGGGCAGGTCAAACCAGTCGCTGGGTTTGATGGCGTATGTGGGGGCAGAGTCCAAGAGGGAACAATGGCTCTTCCTCAGCTCTCTATTGGATTTCAGTCCCCTCTGCCACTTCCCCAAGCAAACTGGGCCCTTCTGGTGCTGATTCCCGTGTGGGTGGGCTTGTGTATGTTCTAGGACCCTGTGGGTCTCGCCAATGAACTCTCCTGTGAGGCTGGGAGTCTCTCCCTGTGCCTCAACCCCCACAGGTGTTTTCAATCGGTGTTTTAAGGCTTTATTTCCCTGCGCTGGGACCCTAGGTTGCGCCGTCTGTCCTGCTCCCTGACTTCGCCTGGTTTATCTGCGTGCAAATGTGGTACCACTTGGGCCAGTTGGTCTGGATGAATGTGTCTGTTTTACTCCGTGGTTGTCCAACTTCCATACAGTTCAATTTTCTGTCAGTTCTGGTTGTTTCTATTTTCTCTTCAATTTTCTGTCAGTTCTTTTTGTTTCTAAATTGTTGTTGTCCTTGTTTTGGTTGTGCAAGGAGGCACAGTGTGTCTACCTATGCCTCCATCTTGGCTGGAAGTCTCATATTATAGTACTTGGGTGAAGGCGGGAAGGAGAAAAGGTGAGGAATGGCAAGAATAAAAAATATGGATGTGGTAAGTGCCTTGTAGGGTACCTGGCACACATCAGATACTTATTTGTGGCTAGCCTGGTTCATTTATGGGTGGAAAAAACAATGACATTTTCTAGGTTACTCTTTTTTTTAGGATTTTTCTCTTTCCTTACATGTAGTATAATATAGTGTAGCCTAAAAAGAATACTGGTTCTTACATACTTATTTAGAGGAAGGGGGAGAGAGAGAAACATCTACTTGTTATTCCACCTACCCATGCATTCATTGGTTAATTCCTGTATGTGCCCCAATCGGGGGATTGAACCCTCAGCCTTGGTCCATCACGACAGTCCTCCAACCAATGAGCTACGTGGCCAGGGCAAAATTTATAATGGTATATCACAAATCTGGCAGGAAGAATTAGAATTTACTGAGTAAAAGTGAAAGGTAACCATAGTAGCCAAATGTGGTCTCTTTCTCTACTATTCCTGCTTCTGTTATCACTTCTGAGTCCCTGAACCTGAACTCAGCGGCAGCCCTTGAAGGTGATTTCCCTCAAAAGTTCACCCGGTTCACTTTTCAGTAACTTGTACTTGTGCAGCTACTCTTAACTACTTACAAGCACTCATTAGTCTTCAAAGAGTCACTTGGATTTTAGGGTAAGGTGCATTAAGTGTCTGGTGGTCACTTGCTCCTCTGTAAGAGCTGCTTAGTCAAATAGCAACAGCCCTTGACATTTCAGTGCCACATGCCATCCTTTGTGTCCGTGTTTCCTCGTGGTGGTGAAGCCCTCGGAGGCAAATCAACACTGACAGTTACAGATTAATCTACCGGAACATGGAGACCAAAAGCTCTCTCCACCTTACGCCCACTGCATTGCTAAAAATCACCAAGTAATTCTCTGCAAGCTTACTGCCACTCTCTTTGGTCTTGTGTAGCTTTTGGTAGCCTGCCCTGTAGCCCAGTGAGACCTACCCTAAATCAAACCACTCTGAACTGTTGATATTCATCAGCTCCTCACTAGGAAATGCCATTGTAACCCTCCGTAAATTCTTCTCTGCCTGCTGACTTCATGGGTAGTAGGTCACGTATTTGCAGTGTGAAATAGGAGATGCTTTTAGTATAATGCATTTATATAGTTTTAAGATACGACACTAAAGGTTTCATTTTCTTTAAGACTTAATTGAGTATCGTTTTTGAGTTATGTTTTCATTGAGAACGAAATATCTCCTAAGCTTCGTGGGGGAGTACTGGCCATGCATGCACGTGCACACAGACACGGGCAGATGTGTGCATCCCTTTATTCGCATGTGAGAGGGAGAAAGCAGGCCTCTGCGCGCTCACGTGTAAGAATCACCTGGCGGCCTCAAGTGATTCAGAAATTAACTTGTTTATATTTACAGGTTTCTTAATTTCCCTACAGTAAACTTTTTTCCTGACTTACTTTTTCTGTTGAACTACTATGAATTTATTTTTTCCATTTCAGACCCTACATAATTGTTAAGAAACAAAAGCCTGCAGTCACAAATAAGCATATGGAAGAGCTGGCTCAAGGGTACAGGTAAATGGCCAAAGACAAAACTTTTCTGTCTCCTTAGTCCTCCCCTACACAATGTAATCAAGCAGTAGCAGCATTTTAGCTGAGCTTTTAAGAATGGTATATTTTCACTTAAAGTCTTTTGATTCCTATCCACTAAATATATTAGCCTGTTAAAAACCTGTTTTTCTCTTGGAATTTGCTTGGATACTGTAAAATATTTATCAACTTAGATCATGAGGATTATAGATTCTTGGTGTAAATTAGTGGACTGTGAAGTGTTTGTAGTGAGAGAAGGACTTTCATCAGTATGTTGATTTAGATACTGTGGGTCTCTCATCTTATGGAATTCCTAAAGTCATAAAAGACATTTTTAGAAGTGGAGACCAGATTGACAAGAATCACAGATGTTTTAGTTATTTCAGGGCTTTGTGATCATTGTATGACCCAAGAATGGCATGTTTCAAGTGTCCCAATGTACTGGCGCTCAATGGGAGAGCGGGGCGCTTGGGCCCAAAGGGAAGCCAGTGCCTTCCATTATTGCACAGAAATATTGCAATAAAGTGCTTTTTAGTAATGTGTGTGTTTCACCAATATTTTCCCAGGAATTTTGAGGATTTCTTACATGAGAGTCTGGTTGAATATCTGGATGTGAATGAAGAAAATGACTGCAATGTCGCACTCTATGAGCACACAATTAATAAGTGAGTAGGATCCATAACGACCGAAATGAAAACCTATTCTGCTTATAGAAACTGCCTTTTCTTTTCCTTTCATTTTCAATTCTTCTATTATGTGCTCTCTCAGTACTTCCGGTTACAAGTATACTATTTTATATAAGCCGTACCCATCACTTATCCCAATGTAAGACTACGGCAAAACTAGTAAGTCATATTTAGACTTCATTTTCTTTCCTATTCATTTTACACTTAGTGTATTTTTTGAAAGGAATCCCAGCTCTGATTTTGATATTTAATTGCTGCCAAAATTGAATTAACAAATTAGGATATGTAAAAGATGTATTTATATCTTTTTTATATCTTATTTATATCTTTTTATATCTAAAAAGAGGATTTTATCAATGGAGTTACTACATAGTATGTGGTAAAGATACCATTAAACTTATGGCAATACAGACACAAAACAATGGTATGTTTACAGTATTTCTTCTAGAACAGCCATATTTCTAGAAGCATTAAAAGACTTATATATAAGTTCCTGTCTGGTGTAGGTTACTGTGCATGGTACACAGTTTACCTGGAATTGGAATTTTTGCACTTATATTGTTAAATAGAGAGTTTAATACTACCAGCTGATAAATATTTGTCTTCACAAGAATGTACCTCTGTCCTGGGTGGTGTGGCTCAGTGGATTGAGTGCCACCTGTGAACTGAAATGTCACCACTTCAATTCAGGGCACATGCCTGGGTTGTGGGTCAGGTCCCCACCTGGGGATGTGTGAGAGGCAACCAATTAATGTATCTCTACCACATCAATGTTTCTTTTCCTCTCCTTCTCCCTTCCTTCCCCTTTCTCTGAATGTAAGTAAATAAATTCTTTAAAAAAAAGTACTTTTCTGTTTCCTGGTACCAGATGAAATATACTACTTTATTTTTGTCTAATTATAAGCTAGTAAATAATGCTTTCAGTCAGAAATTTTAATGCTTTAAAGATACGAATCTCTTAAAATACTATTTTTATACTTCTAATTTCAAGATTGAGGGTAAGGGAGAACCTTATATTGTAACCCTGTAAACAGCCATTCCATCTTGTCTTGTTACTAAAGCCAGAAACCTCAGTTTCAGCCTTGACTCCCCCCTTCCTCTAGACCAGGGCTGTCAAACTCATTTTCACTCGGGGCCACATCAGCCTCATGGTTGCCTTCAAAGGGCCGAATGTAATTTTAGGACTGTATAATGTAACTAGTCCTTAACGGTTAAGTGAGAGCTCGGCACTGCCGCTGGGCAGAAACAAGGTGGGGGACCAGATAAAATAAGGTGGATTTGGCCCGCAGGCCTTGTGTTTGCCACCTGTGCTCTCTACCCACATATGCCCTTAACATATTACTGGACCTTCAATCTACCTATACCTGAGGTCTTTTTACCACCTTTACAGGTCACCCGAGTCCAGGCCACTGCCGTTGCTTGCCTGGATTCTTGCAAAAGACTTGTGACTATTTTTGCACTTGTCCTCGTGCAGTTTATCTTAATAGATCAGAATGGTCACTTGTCTTCTCAAACCCCCCCAGTTGCTTTCCATCTCCCTTTAAAATCCTTACAGAGGCCTTCCAGTTCTTACACGATCTGCCCACATTGCTTCATACCTGCAACTCCTGCCTCCCTTCACTCTTTGTTTTAACCCTGGCCTTTTCAAACACCCGAGGCATGCTTCTGCCTCGACACCTTTGCACTGGCAGTTCCCTATGTCTGGAACACTGTCTCATATACCTGCATGGCTCACTCCTTCACCTCCTCCAGGTCTTTGCTCAGGTGTCACCTGCTCACTGAGATTTCCTGTTTAAAATAGAAACCCCTCCTCTGACCACTCCTTTTCACTGCTTTATTTTTCTAGTGCTAATTGCCTTGTGATAAAAGCTGTAAAATGGATATTTTATTACTTATTTATTTATGTGTATTATCTTCCTACACTAGAAACTTCATGAAGGCAGGTGTTTTTCTCTGTTTTGTTCACTGATATAAATGACTAGCAATCAAGCATCAGTATCACCAAATCACCCTGCTATTTCATACTTTCAATTCATTTTATTTTAAAAAATAGAAAAGTTTCTAAATATTATTTGATTCATATATATGACATTAAAAAATGTGGTTATAGATATAAATCTCTTAATTGCCTTTTATTGTGTTGTCTGAGTACACATAAGTAATTTATTTAACTTGTCCCCTGTTGGTGAAGATTCAGATTGTTTCCAGTTTTCCTGTTATTACCAGCCACAGGTCACTTAAGCTTAATTTGAGCTCAATTTAAGGCCATTATTGACATTCGATAGAAAGTGCCCTACTTCCTGTTCAGGACAGAAACTTATGGTTATAATTTTGAATAATTGTGTTCCTTTCTGTTTTGTAAAGGATCCAGAGAGTTTGGGCTTTGACTAGCACATGATCTTATATAAGTTGTTGTGAAAAAGGAAGGACTGTCAATGTTTACTTTCTTGATTTTCAGCTTCCAGCTTACCTCAGCCTTTACATATGAAAAAGTCATTGTTATTTACATGGGGAATGTCAGATGGCCACTATTTAAATAAAACAGTACATTTAAAACAAATTCTTCTATCCTAGGCTGTCCTGGATGTGGTATCTGTTACTTTAAGCAAAGACCTAGAGTAATTTGCTCTTCTTTCTCATTAAAATATCTGGGTTGCTTTATCATTTAGCCAAAACTAAATTTTCTGCAAAAATATATTATGAAAGTAACAAAGATTCTGACACTTAGTAGGTAAAGTCTTTCTTGGTGTTTAGTGTCTGTAGCTGAGCTCTCCAGTAAAAATATAGTGCAAGCCACATGCGTAACTTTAAATTTTCTAGCAGCCACATTTAAAAAGTAAAAAGAAACAGATGAAATTAATTTTAATAATTTCACTTAAACCAATATATCTAAAACATTATATCAATATCAATATGAAAATATTGAGATATTTTACATTTTCTTCTGTCTTCAAAACCTGGTGTTCAGTTATAACACATCTCATTTTGGATGCTGAATTTTATTGGAAATACTTGATCTGATTTCATAGCACAGTTGGAAAAGTAGACTCATAAATGTAAGTTGTTACAAACATAACTAAAAGATTTAAAATGAATGAGCCACGTTATTTAAGTTTGAGTTTTAAGATGTAAGGTAAGTAAAATTAAGTAAACCACAAAAATTCAGTTCTTCAGCTTTACTAGTTTTACTTTTCAAGTGCTTAATTAGCTGCACCTACCTAGTGGTCACGGCACTGGTCCCTGCGGCACTGTGGGGCAGCTGTTGTAAAAAGGGACACAGTCCCCTCTGAAGTGGAGACATCACTTCCTCATTAGTCTGAGTTGGAAAAGTGAAGAAAAGCAGGTTCCTGATCCATGTGGATGTTTTTTATCTGCATTTCCATATGCTCAGTTAATCATTTATTTGTGTTATTGTTAGTTAATATATAATAATACTTTCTTTTTTATATAGACATTCCATACAATTTCCCTTCCCTTGTATTTCTACAAATAATAAAAGTTTGTGTCATTAAAAAATAACTTATGTTTTGTCCTATTTTATTTATCAGTTTTACTAGCATCAAATTTTGTTATTGATGTTTCATTATATAAATTTGTCATATGTATTATATATATTTATATATAAACTTAAGTAAATTTCATTACCACATTTTCGGACTATAAGACACACCCTCCCAATTTGAGAGGAATAATGGTTGTTAGTGTTGCCGTTGAGTTCTGTTTACATTCACATTGGTGAAATATTATGCTATTTATGTTATTAAATATTTTACCACATTTTTTTGCTTCAAAATTTTTTTCCTATTTTTCTCCCCTAAAATCTAGGTGCCTCTTATGGTTGAAAAATACGGTATCTGGGTCCCATGGGGACTTAGTAATATTTTTATACCCTTTAAGCGATATTTATTTTAGTACTTGGCGCCTAAGATATCTAATTCTTAATTAACTTGCTAGAGACACCACCCACTTGGAAATCGAGCCCTTCACTCTTCTCGGTGTTTGTGCCGGCCTGATTCCATACCCTCATCATAACCAGTCTCCAAGAAACACGTACCAGTGTGCCATGGGGAAACAAGCCATGGGTAAGATTTCCTTCTTGAATTTGGTTCTAAATACGTGGATAAAAGACACATCTTCATTCACGCTTCACCAGTGTGTGGTGTTCGGTCAGACGGGGCATCAGTGACGCCTCAGGCAGCCCCGTGGCGTCTGCAGAGCTTGCACCTGCCCCGTCATGTCTGAAGGGTAAACCAAGTGGAGCAGATCTCTCTGAACTTGTGCCCTTGGCCAAACCAAGGGGACAGGAAGTAAATGTAACAATTATGAAGGGGTAAGTATGAAAGTTGCTATAAAATGTAAGTTATTAACCCAGAGAGATGAAATAACGAGCAGAAAAACTCAAGGTTGAGGGAGGAGAGGAAAAGGAAATAGAGATAAAGATGCCCAGTATGTATTAGAACAGGGCTGTCAAACTCATTCTCACCGGGGACCACAGCAGCCTTGCGGTTGCCTTCAAAGGGCCCAAGGTAATGTTAGGACCGTATAAATGTAACTATTCCTTAACTGTTAAGTGAGAGCTCAGTGCTGCCGCTGGGTAGACACAAGGTGAAGGACTGGATTCAGCCCGCGGGCCTTGTGTTGGCCACCTGTGTCTAGCACACACTTAGTAATTGTCTGGGTGACAGTCACTGGACCCATTATATCTTTGCAACTGTTCCTGTAGCTTCTGAAATGTCCAGCTCATGTCACACCAGTTTCCGGATTCGTTTTCCTATTTTGCTTCCTTTTCATCCACTCACCTATTAATTTATCTCTGTACCCCGCCTGTAATAATTATTGAGCATCATCTACGGATCAGACATTGGGGCTGGAACCTGAAAATACAGAGATGAGGACAGAGCCCTGTCCTCAAGGAGTTCACAGTCTGGTAGGAGAGACCAGCAAACAGAATGGTAATTCAATACAGTGTGGTGGATGGAGAGTTAGAGTCTCGGGGAATGAGAGCAGAACGACCACTTGAGGTTAGAGAGTAGGTTATTTCTGAAAAGCAGAATCAAACTAAATCGTCAAAGACACTAGTGTTTTTTCACAGGCATGGAAATCACAGCTGAGCAGTACACGGGAAAGTCTCGACACTTGGATGTGGCTGTGCCGTAGAGGTGCACGTATATTAATGAGTCTGGGTTTTCTCTTGAAGTGGATTCAGAGAGAATACCAAGCCAAGAGGTTTTGCTTTTAAACTTCTTTTGAAATGTGTTTTAAAGTCATTTAAATCTAATAAGTATAATAAGTTTTATTTTTATCTATGTCTATGACATCAATATGACTTATCTCTGATTTAAAGTATGATACAAGGAGCTTTGTAAACAAACAAAAAAAGCTGTTAAAAGGTTTTTACATTGACTTTGGGTAACAAGCAGAGTGAATGCAGTTAGCTCTCAGTTACCAAGAATCAGCTGCAGTTGACTGTAATAGATTAAGGAATTCTATTTCTCGTTATGGATAAAGAGTCTGTATGCTTTTCAAGTTTGTGTATTGCCCTTTCCTTGGCCATGAAGAAATAAGAAGCATGTTGTCTTGCTCCCATTTACCTGAATGATGTAATGCCTGGACAGCTCAGAACAATTCCCAGTGGGAAACTCTAAACAGCGGCTCATCAGTTTAGCCTTTCCCATTCATCCTCAGCTGCAGTAGAGGCTGATTTCCCGCTTGTGCTTCTGACTTGCTAACAAGTTGAAATATACAGTACTGAACCCTGTGTGTCATGAAAGGGCTATCACTTCTATTGGGTTTACCAAACCATTTTGTTTCATGATGTGAATCCCCGCTGAAACAATACACCTTTTGTGTAGAACCTTCAGCAGAATTAACGGAAGACTAATCACTTCATCGCTAACGCCACTCTTTAGTGTGTTTGTTTGAAGATTGAAATAGAAAGGGCTTTATCTGTCTCCACTTAGTGAATCGTTTTCCTTTTTTTTTTTTAAATAAGAGACTTGAAGGGAAGGAATAATATTTTTATTTTTGTTACTCCTCTCCCTACCCACCCTCCCCAGCCAAAGCCTTTATTTTGTGGCCCTGAGTATCTGAAACATTCGGTTAGTTACCACACACAGTTAAGCAGGATCAGTGTGTACAGAAAGCCAATTCAGTGTCTGTAGAGTTCTTTTGTAGTTTTCTGTGTGAAGGTTTTTTTCCTCGTTTTGTTTTGAGTGTCATTTGCAATTCATTGTCTGTGTTTTCTGAGGTTGGTGTATTCAGCTGCTCTGACCCTGGGTCCTGCACATTTAGCTCCTTGGATACAATCCTCTGACGTTACTGCTGACGCTGGGAAGACAAAAGCCGCTGAATATCTTAAGTAATAAAAAAAAGCCTTTGTTACTGTTTGTTATTATAAAACACCTGACTGGAAAGAAAAGCAGAGAGATAAAAGTACGTTTAAAGTTGGCACATGACATGGCCACATTTCTCTTTGGACACTGAAATAGCTGCAGAAGTCTTGACCAAGGTCTGCATGAAAATCACAAAAGAGAGAGGCCGACAGGGGGAAAAGCCCCCAGCAGAGACCCGGGTCTGTAACACAGACCTCACACTTGGAGCTGGACTTCTCTGAGTCATTTTAGTTGTGTCCGTCTTAACAGCCAATAACTCAAGTCACACTCTCTTATTTTCAGTTTGCACTGAGGACTAGCTGCTGTTCATCCATTAGTCCACGTGGAAGGTGGAGGACAGTAGCCCACAATTAATTCACTGAATATTCTAGTCAACATGGGACATTTGCTGTCTACCTGTCACTACAAACTTCTCCTATTCTACAGAGCAAAAAAATAAGTGAAAGTCCTTTTCTGTCACTGCAAAGGAGACCAAGACTAGCACAAACCAGAGACTGAAAGACTTACCTTATACATTGGAGAGGGCTGACTTGAATCCAACACAAAACATCAGCAGAGGGTGTTTCTTAAATCTAAGGCTCTTTGAGGTATTAATAAAGTTCAAGTTTCCACGCGGCATCTTACTACGCTCTTGAGTGACACCTCCCTTCCGTGGATACGGTGTTGGTTATGACAGGGTTCAGAGCAAGAATCAGGGAGATGCGTGTGGAAGTGGCAAGGTTTCCAGGTCACTCGGTGCCATGACTAAAGGCTGTGGGTCAGAGCTGCACCGTACACACTGCCGGCACCAGACACCAAGTTCTCACGAGTTACGCTTTCATATCTGCTCATTTTATGAGTTGGCAACCCTGTAGTGGAGCAATTTCTCCTGTTTAACAGTCTTTCGGCCGTCATCAGCTCTGTTAATAAATATGCGTCACATACCTCCCCTGGTCTTGGCTGCTTCTCCGCAGTTCTTCCCCTTCGACTCCAGATTGCTAGGACTTTTTTTTTTTTAACTCAGGAGCTAATGCATCTTCTGTTTTTGTTTTTGTTTTTGTTTTTGTTTTCAATAGATTCTATTCCTAAACAGATAGTTTCCTCTTTTGTATTTCCCACTTAAGAGTAGTATGGGATGTACTAGAGATATTGAAAACATAATATATACAAGGTCTTCATAACATTTGATTTTATTCTATGTCTCCTCCCCCACTTTCTGTGTGAATTTTTATTTTAAAGAATTCTTTATTTATTTAAGGGTACAGAATGAAAAGATGTCTTGGTCAAATGGTCCCTGGCAATTCTTCTTTTAGAATTCTGCTGTTGGTTCAAAAAAAAATTTAAATCATTGTTAACTATTTTAGGTGTAAGCTTATGTGATAGTTCTTGTGACGAGCATGTTAGTAATAAGTATTCTGGAGGTTAAATTAAGTTTAGTACATGGGTTAGAGTTGCAGGTAGAAGGGGCGATATTACAGGGTGATGGCGTATATGTTTTCATTGCTACCAGCATTGTTCATATTAGTCATGAATGTTGCCGCTTACTGAATACACAAATGATTATGTGCATTTCTTCTTTCATTCATAATAACAATGCTGTTATATTGTTTCAGATATATATTGTCAGATATAATGCATACTTCTTTCGTTTCTGGCAAGGGAACTCAATCCCTTGCCTTACTCAGTTTGGTTGAGTAACTTATGAAAAAGGTTATGTCTTCTATACAATTTCATCTATAGAACTTCTGAAATTCTTCTCAACTGAAATGGACTGTGGATCACGACCCAGGTGGCTTTCCTATTAGACTGTGGATTATAAGCTCCTTGAGGATAGGGATATGTCTGTGTTGTCTATTACTCTACCCCTTGTGTCTAGCATAGTGCCAGCCTAAGTAGAGTGTGGTCAGTACTTACTAAGCGTTTCTACAATGAGTGAATGGATCTTTGAGCACATTAAAATTGTTAAGAAACCAGGTGCAGATTTTTTAAAAGAATTTCTGAAACAAAAAACTAAGTGGGGAGGCTTATACAAACTGATTTTAAGATTTAACTGAAGCCACAGCAGTGAAGGCAGATTGAGACCAAGGCACAGGGTAGACCTATGGGTAACGGAGCAGAATCGAGAATCAGAAATGGGTCCACACATTTATGGGCTGTTGTTTCTCAATGAATGTTTCAAGGCAGTTTGGGGGAAAGGAAAATCTTTTCAACAAAATAAAATGTGTCTACGTATATCTATAATAGAAAAAAATAGACATCTCCTTCTACCTCGTACCATACAAAAAAATTAACACAAAATGAATCATAGTCCTGAATGTCAGAGCTAAAACCATAAAATTCATGGGAGGAAATGGGCAAAAATCTTCATGACCTTGAATAATCTAAGATTTGTTAGATAGAGTGCAAAACCACAACCTATAAAAATCAAAAAGTAAATAATTAGACTTTCTCAAAATTAAACTTTTGCTCTTTGGGAGAAAGGTACTTAACAACGTGAAATTGGCAGTTACAGAGTAGCCTCGGGGCTGTAAAGTGCAAGAAGTGGAGTAACCAAAGAACTCATACACATGGCCCATGGGCATGAACAGTGGCTAAAATTGGGACAACTGTAACAGTATAGTCCATAAAATATAATTTTTTTAAAAGGGAGAAAACGAATATGAAAAAGACCTTAATCCACATAATGGGAGCAAGTCTTTGCAATATATCTATTTGATAAAGGATTTGTATTCAGTATATGGAAAGAACTCTTTACTAATAAGACAGATCCATTGAAAAATGGGAAGAACAAAAATGAGACACTTCACAAAGAATAAGAATGATCAATCAGCTCATAAAAATATATTTACTATCATTAGTCATCAGGTAAATACAATTTGAAACTAAATGCCACTGCACACTCAGTGGAATGACTGAAGTGAAAAGGACCCGCGTTTCGCATTGGTCAGGATGGAAGCAGCCTGCGTGCTCGTACACTGCTGGTGCGGATGTGAAGTCCAGTAATCAGTTTGAGAAATTCTAGAGCAGTTCCTTCAAGTTAACCCTCCCCTAGTGGCACCACCCAGAAGTCCCACTTGTGTGCATTGACTAAGAAAAGAGTACACAGAGTTGTGTGCATGAGCATTCAGAGCAGCCTCGTGCCCAGTGGCCCAGAAGCCACAGCAACCCAAATCCCTCAGCAGGTGAGTGTATGCCTGCAGTGGAGCGCTGCTCCGCAGCGAGAGGGATGAGCTGTGAGACACACTACCACGTGGGTGTGTCTCACAGTCATGCTAACTGAAAGAAGCAGCAGGAGAATGTACGTACTGTCTATTCCCATTGTGTAAAACTCTAGAAAATGCAACCCAGTCTGTAATGATAAAAGAATAATAGGTCAGTGGTTGTCTGGGGCCAGGGACAGAGGCAGGGCTCTTTTGGGTGAGTTGGAAATGCTCTAGATCTTGACCGTGGCGGTGGTTTCACAGATGTGTGTGTCTGTCAGAACTTGAATGGATGAAATTTATTGTATGCAATAATGTTGATTGAATAAAGAGAAACTGGGCAAAGGAAGACAGAAAAATAGTTAAGTGCACGAAGCTTCATTTTATTCAGTATGCATTTTCTGAGCTCTGTGCGTTCTTACTAACTTTTCTCGTCCCACCTTAAAATAAACTTCTTCACTGTTTTAACCTACATTTAAATACTTTTCCATGCCAGCTTGTAACTTTGTAAGAAAGTATGACAGAGAAGATATGACTTTGCAAGAAAAATTATACCCTGGTAGTAAGAAATTGAAATCATTGGTGACTATAGTTAGGGCAAAATGGGGTTGTAAAAGGAGAATTCAGCTTATAGATATTCTTGTTGTTAGTTATTATATTCATACAATGCCCTTTTTAAGGAAGCTGAAAATGTTAATAGAAGCATTCTAATTTGAACATGTACTTCACCCAGAATAGTCTTACAGTTTAATTTCTGTATGACGCTTTCTCAAAAAAGCTTGTTTTGGGCAAAATAGCTAGTCAGTCGGTCATAATTTTTATAGTAATTACGGGGTATGGTGGCGTTTTGCAGTTTTACAATGTAGAAGTCATAGTTCGTAAATCATGTTTTCACCTCCACACCATTGTCAGTGCTGCTAAAAATAGTTGTACATGTACATTCCCTCAAGTTCTTCTCAAAGTCTTTAAAGAAAAACTTCTGATGAGATCACAAGCACCAAACATTTGCTAAACCGTTTTGTCGTCCATCCATTCAGCGGTCAGTGGTAATGCCCAAGAATTATGTCTGGGCCTTGTAGCAGTTTACATCAGGAGCCAGTCTCTTTCACCATTGTTAGAGGTGCAGCCGCTCATGGTCCCCTGCTGCATGATAACGCCTGTCCCGGGTTTCAGAGGACGTGTTTGGCAGCCTGGTGGGAGAGTGCCTGAACCCTTGCCTCAGCTGGGTAAAGTATACAATTGGAGCTGAAATCTCAACATGAACTTCAAATAATTTCATGTAAAAGGACAAACTTAGTACCAGTGAACTTGACCACAACCCAAGCAGCAGTGATTTTATTTCTAAAACAGTAAGTGATATATTACCAGGTATCCTGTCCAGTTTATTAGTTGGCACTAAAGTAACATGAATTAATTGCAATTTATAATGTAAACTGGATAAAAAGTTCACGAGTTCAGTTTAGCTATTGTTTTTCAGCTGAATCTTGATGCATTTTCTAGAGATTTAAGGACAAATATACGCTATCATGAAGAATATAATACAGTTCTTCAATGTCATTTACTTGATATTTATTGAGCATCTATAGTGAGCCCAACACTGTACTAGGTGCTTATTTCTTTAGTATTCTATAGATTTCAGAATTTCTTTCATCATGCCTAAATAGGTTATTTTTGTTCCTGAGTTGAAATTGCTGTTGAGTTAATGACATGAGTACAGAGAAAAAGGTAAAAGAAACACTGAGTTTTGGGTCTTAGTTCACCTTAGAGTTTAACTCCATTAAATGATACACAGGCGTCTTGGGGTGTGTGGGTGTTGTGGATGTGTCTCTATGGAAGCACATGTATCAGAGAGAGATTTCCAGCTACCTTCTTAGCCACGCAGAGGGAAAAGGGGATATACCTGGGAGAAGCTAAAGAGGCTCGGTAGCCCACACTCAAGCTCAGCAGTAGGGCAAACATGAATTTCCCAGTTTTAAGGTCTCTCAGTAAGACCAACCCCAGGAGAGTGAAAGCTGCCTTTTCAGACACGATAGTGAACCCGAATGAACTGCAGGGAAAAGGGAGACGGAGCTCAGGGGAGGGGAGGTGACTAACCTTCTGATTTCATTTCTAGTTGACAGTAGAACTCTTTTGAGGTCCAGTCAGGTGGAAAGGCTGATTGCTATATACCCCATCTTTGATTGGACAGGGCTTGGATTCCTTAGGGGAAAGGCGCGGTCCTCTTTATCTCCACTGCTGGGCACAGAATAGGTGTTTATGAACTGCTTAATAAATGAATAGTTAAGCAAATGGAGAAATGTGTTCTTCTCAGCTTTCAGTTTGCTCTTATTCTTTTTCTACGACTTTCTTTTTCATTTAGAACTTTTGTAATTGTTGATTTCTTTTTATGAACTCTATCTGTTTGCCCCACTGTATAAACTCCTTACCTATCAGCTCTGGGGGTTGCTCTGGTTACCTTCCCCCAGCAACTGGACACGTCCTGGAGTATAGTAGGACCAAATACAGAACTGCTGACTGACTTCGAAATTAACCAGTGGAGACTAAAATTCCTCAAATGGGATTAATTGTACAACTCCAAAAGGTTGAAATTATTTAGATCAGTACATCTTGAGTGTGGTTTTTCTTCCTTGTGGAATTCTTAATATTATTGAGAAAAATTATTTAAAAAAGTTGTTAGCTACTATGAGGGTATTGCTTTGGAAATGTTTGACCAGAAGATTTTCTCCATTTCAATTAGTGAAATTAATGTGTTTATAACTGTATTCATTGCTACTTAATTATTTGACATAATAGAATATCGCATTTGGTTTCTTTTCCAATGTCAATGAAGGTACCATTGGATACAACCAGCGGAACAGAATTGATACTCTCATGTATCTGCTAGCATACCCACAAAAGCCTATGGTCAAAACAAAGACCATCGAGTTGATAGAATTTGAGAAACTGCCAGCTGGACAGAATGCAACAGTTGCTGTGATGAGTTACAGTGGCTATGATATTGAAGACGCGCTTGTTTTAAACAAGGCCTCACTGGACAGAGGTAAGTGAATTTGGAAAGCTCTAACACCGAAAGTGCTTGGTACAGGGTTAGATGTAGGGACGATCGATGTAGAAATTACTTGGTGTCAAAACGTTAATGTCAGTTTCGAGTGATTAGTATTGTATAATGTACAACCAGTTATGTTGTTGGAGGCAGTTACGTTGTGGTGTTGACTTTTTAAAAAAATGAATATTATATAGAAGTAATTTGTTAAATGTATCAATAAACAGGCTTTTGTTGTTGTTATTTTACATTATTGGTGAATTGAGACAATTCCTCAATGGCAAATATGTAAGAGTTGTTTTGTTTTCCAGCAGGAATTCTAATAAATGCAGTACAGTTTCAACAATAAGCCCTTTTGGTAGGGTAGTAACAATATTTGTATGTAAAAGGCTATTTTATTTATTGTATACCTCAACCCCATAATATTAGACCTTTTTGTTAGCATAATGATAAAAATTTTTAAATGTGTATGCATTTAAAAATATGACTTATAGCTGTTACATTTTTCTTTCTCTGTTTCTTGATAGCTCCCTTTTGCAGGTCACCAAATAATGGTTTGTAAGCCACCACCTGAAGTCCGACTTCTCCTTTCATGGTCTCGGTTCCTCTTTTTCCTCTCGGGCGTACCCACTCTGCCTGCCCCTCACTCTTTGTAGTTGCTAGGCAGCCGTAATAGTACTCCTAGACATGTGTCTTTGGCATTAATGTTGGCTGCACTTAATTTATGCCTCTTTTTTTCCTCCTAATGACAACAGCCGTGCTTTAAAACTGGATGTTTTCCTTTCTGATTAACTGGTAACGTTTATGTGCAAATCTGAAGACTTTGTGATATCTGTCAGAAACTTTTCAACGCAGTTTAATGACCTGAGTGTACTGTTCACTAGCTGTTAGGCTACCACCTGTAAATACAATGTCCATGTACCCTTAGAGGAAAGCGCTGCTTGGTTTCATGCAGTTCAGATTCACACTGCACTCCAGCATTTTGCAGTTAATGGCCACCGTACAAAATTTGAAGATCATATAATGTTTCTAAAGCAGCTGGCTCTTGCAGCCGAGCTTATTATGGCCATACACAATTTACTGGGGCCGTAATGACTAAGACTTTTATCAAAGACATGCAGACGTCTTCATCTGTTGTCCACTTGTAGAAATGTGTTTTATCGAACAGTCACCTTCACATTTTAAAAAGTTGCCTGGGAGCAGTGAAATTTTATTTAGAAATCCACTTTTCCCTGATGGATTTTCTAAATTCATATTCTTAGGTTTCTTGCAAGTGCTCTGCTTTTGCTGAAGAATTATAAATGAAGCATTTTATAGCCATGCATTTATTTCATCAGTAATAGCCAGCATTTGATCCTGAAACATTTTCCTACTTAACTGAACTCTTGACATGGCTTAATATATCCTGGAGAGATAGAGAATCAAGTTTAAAATAGCTGCCTGGGGAAAAAAACTATGAATTCAGTAAAAATTAAAAAAAGAAAAGAAAAGAAAAACTGTTTCACCAAACTAGGGAAGATAAAAGAAATGCAGCCACAGGGTCTTGGGAAATGATATTTAGTGTTGAAAGAATGACAGCTCTTTTGGGGTCCTCCAGAGCTGATAAACTTTTTTGTGGGAGTCAGTGGTTGAGTTTTTTGCTTCATCTAAAGGTATTCTTCTCTTCCTTTTGCTTATTAATGTGTAGATTGCTAGTTAATCTCAGGCCTTTTCCCTCGCCCACTGGGTAAATGTGATCTAAAAATATAATCAAAGTAAACTAATCTTCAGAACAGAGATGAATTATTTCTGTCATTAAAATCATTTGATTGTTTCTTTTCATTTTCTGTGCTCTTTGCAAAAAAATTAATTTTTTTGTTTACTTCTTTGGGACTTCCTCTGATTGCTAATACCAGAAAAAGGAAAACTTTTCAGAGAAGGTTAGCAGAAGTTATGCAACAAAATGACATGTAGGAGGAATCCTGGCTGATTGGTGGAGTTGGTCTGTCTCGACTTTGCCACCAGCTTCCTGGGAGACCTTGACCATTTAATTTCTTTGGCACCAGTGCCCGTGAGAGGGGGTTATGCCAAGTGATCACTAAGGCGCGTTTCGTTTCTCACATCCTGTGGCTCTGTGCTCTGAGAGAACCACAGCGACACTTGGGTTTCTCTTAACCTTCCTCCGACATGATAGCGTATGTATAGTCCATGCCGCAAATGGTGTTGGAGGTTCCAGTGTTGACCTGGACAGTAGGTAAGGGGAGGAGTCCTGACGCGTAGGTGGTTTATCGGTTTGGCCCATCCCAGACCATCCAAATGTAGATTGTTGTAGGGGGAGAAGGGAACTAGAACGAGGGGGGTTGTTGAATAACACAAACCTGTGTTTTCTCATAGTTTGGTATTTCTGGTGGTTCTGACACCCATTTTGGTTTCACTTTAGGTTTTGGGCGTTGCCTTGTATATAAAAATGCTAAGTGCACATTGAAACGATACACTAACCAGACTTTTGATAAAGTCATGGGGCCGATGTTGGACGCGGCCACGCGGAAACCCATCTGGCGACACGAAATTTTAGATGCAGATGGCATTTGCTCTCCAGGTAAAAGTCACTAAAACATTTAATATATGCGTTTTGAAATTACGAAAATGAGATATCTGAATATTTGGTAAATGGGGTAGAAAATAACCCCTGTCTTAGCCAGTATGGTCATTGTTCGGTGAATTTCATTCTAGTCTTTTTATGCATATGTTTTTACTTAGCAATAATCTATTCCAGTTATACTTTCCTAGTTATAATTTTGAATCATAGAAAATCCACTTTAGTGAAATAGTTAAAATAAGAAGGTCATATTCCAGCATCTACACTGGTGTTTCATCATTTGTACACTTCGCTTACAGACTGACTTTGGAATCGATCTCATGCCTCTAAAAAGTGTGACTCCATCTTAATTACAAGTGCATAGTGACTTGGGTTGGAGCAACCTACAGCCCCTGCCCTTATGAGTATTACGGCTAGTGTGGGAAACTCATTGAGCAGAGGAGTGCACACAAACGTGCAAATACAGCCAAGTTAAGGAATCGTGTAAGGAGCTAGGAAGCCTTTCTGTAACAAGAGTGTTTACCCTCATCAAGAAGATTGGGGTGGCCTTCCCATGAAGTGAGCTGAAATGTGAAGGATGAGTGAAGTCGACCAATGAAGAGGGGGAGGAGTGTGTTCTAAGCAGTGGGAAGGGCTTGTGCAGGTGTCCTGCAGCTTGACAGTTGAAGGGTCTGAAAGAAGGCCAGTGTGCCCACAAAGAACAGAGTGCTGGGGAGTATGGTGAACATGCGTCTAGAAAGCGGGGCGGGGGCGGCCGGGGATTGTAGCCATGTTAGCATTTTCATTATGATCCTAGAAGCAATGACAGGATCAGTTATGCGGTTTGAAATGATCATTCTGACTACCACATAGAGAGGAGTAGCAGGGGAGCCAAAGCAGAGCCAACTGAGAGCTCTGGCAGCAGACCAGGGGCCAGGAGCTGTGGTGAGATGAAGAGAAAGACTGGGTGGGGAAGACTTATAGTGGGAAGTCTGCATGACCTCGTCACGTGGTGCCTGGGCGGCAAGTACTGCATCTGCGGTGGTGCCCTGAGCTGCGCGGTGCGTGGCTTCCCCTCTTGGCTGCCTTCGTTTCCTGGAGATTTTCTCTCTTCACCCAGCTGGGAAACAAGTGCTATGGCAGAACTGCAGTAGTTGGTCTTTGAGCCTCCCCAGGAAAGGTGCAAAGCAAAGGTGAGAACAGCAGGAAAATCAAAGAAATCTTTTGATTTCTTTTGCCCAGCCTGGCAGTGACTTACTGTTTACTGGTTGAAGTAACTGTTCATAGAAGTAAATGGTCCACATGTGTTCTAACACCCAAAGAGATATATAAAATTGCTACCTACTGACATGACATTTCCCCTGTCAGTGTGGTCCCCTATATCAGTTTCTTAGTTTTATGCTCACTGCAGTCCGTATCTATGATTTGTTTTCATCTGGGCCTGCAGAACTACAAACGAGCTTCTACACTCTAGTTCCCACGGTATGGACTCATTTTTTCCCCGTGTCGGCTTCATAGACTAAGTCTAATCTCGTAGTTTTTACCCCAGTAATCTTTGCATATTGCATGGATGATAACAGTTTGTCTAACCCTTCTTACTTGCTCAGGTGAGAAAGTAGAAAACAAACAAGTGCTCGTAAATAAATCCATGCCCACAGTGACGCAGATTCCCCTGGAAGGAAGCGGCGTGCCGCAGCAACCCCAGTACAAAGATGTGCCGATCACGTATGTATTGGGTGTGCTTTGGAAATGCATGGGAGGAGTCAGCTCTGGGCAGTGTGGTTCCATTGGTTGGAGCATTGTCTTGTAAACCGAAAGGCCGCAGGTTCGATTCCCAGTCAGAGCACACGCCTAGGTTGCCAGTTTGGTCCCCAGTCAGGGTGTGTATGAGAGAGAACCAATCACGCCGATGTTCTTCTCCCTCTCTCCCTCCCTTCCCTTCTCTCTAAATCAATAAGCATGTCCTCGGGTGAGGATAAAAAAATACATAGGAAGAATCACTTACTGTCAGTGCTCCAGTCACTCTCCTTTTGCTGATGACTTCCAAACAGCCATCTGCGTGGTTTCAGCTCCATACTTGGAACAGCGTTACAGATGTCCCACATCCAGAACAAAATCCTCCTCCTCCCTACCCTAACAGGCTCCTCTGGGGACCCTCCCTCTATGAGTGGGACCACCATCCCACCAGTCACCTACAACACAAACCTGACTCTTTTCCTTTACCTGCCAAGCAAAGCCAAAGCTTGTAGGTTCAACTGGATCTGCAGGTTCTGTCTCCTTAGCTGCGCTCTTGTCTTCTCAGTGACACCACTTGCGGTCTGAGTTCTGGCCCTCCTCTCCCGCCAGACTCTTACTTGTCCATCAGTGCACATCTGCCTCCGGTCTTGCACCTGTCCACGTGTCTTACACACTCTCCGTGATGCTGCCAGCGTGGTTTTTCTCCAGCGGGCTCCTCTGGTCGTGTGACTCTCTTGAGTAAATAAGAGTAAAACTTGAGTAGATTGAGTAAAACTCCCAATGACAGTGTTGCCTGCTGGATGAAGGCCAAACAAAATAATACGTAATAAGCCCTGGCCAGGTGGGTCAGTTGCTTAGAGCATTGTCCTGTACGCCAGAAAGTTGCAGGTTTGATTCCTGCTCAGGGCACATACAAGAAGCAGCCAGTGAATTCATCGATAAGTGGAACAACAAATTGGTGTTCTCTCTCTCTCCCTCTCTCCTCCCCACTCCGTCCTTCCCTCCATCACTTTTTCTCTAAAATCAATAACATATCTTTGGGTGATGATTAAAAATAATAATAATACGTACAAGACTATTCGTGATTCTTGGCATATCTCCATAGCCCTTTGCACACTGGGCCCCGCGTTCCAGAATCACACCACCCTCCGCAGGCCTTTCCCACGGGCTCCGCCTGCGCCCTCTGCCTGAACGCCCCTCTGCCGGTGGGTCTCAGCCCCTGGGCCACCTCTCTGGGAAGCAGTCCTCGACAGCCTGCCCTCCCCATCCACTGTCACTGCATCTGCTGCCAGTGTTCACTGTCGTCCCTCTGGGTGTGGCACTGTCTGCACTGTGCTTCCCTGCTCACTCTGCTGATTGTACTGTGAGTTCCTGTGGGCAGGAGCCGTGTCTGCTCCACCTGTGTGTGTCCAGAGCCCACACAGACCTGCCACACGGTAGACTCTCAATAATGTTTGTCGTATGAAAAACAGTGTGTGAAAAACCTCGTAATGGGAAAATTCAGTCAACAAAAGTGACTCAGAACTTGGAATTTAGTCTGACGGGTGGTCACCCCGAACCGGGTCCACTTCAATGTCCTGGGCAAGTCAGTTTTCCGTGTCTACAATAAGGGGATAACAACACGTGAACAGTATGTGTGGCGAAGATTAAACATTAGCTGTTTTAAACTAGGACTGGAAGGGGGAAACTGTAACATTTGAATTTAATGTTGCAAATGAAAGTCATTTTTCAGAGCCCAGAATGGGAATGTCAAAATATTCTGTGGTAGATATTAAATAAAACATGGCTGGAGGTGATAGGTTCATAAATGGCAGTTTGAAAACTCTGTTTTCTTGATTTTTCTCTTCACATTAGCTACAAAGGGGCAACAGATTCATATATTGAAAAAGTGATGATATCTTCAAATGCCGAAGATGCTTTCCTGATAAAAATGCTGCTGAGACAGACAAGGCGTCCAGAGATTGGTGACAAATTCAGCAGTCGTCATGGGCAAAAAGGTAGGTTGTTTCACTTCTCCACTCGGTTATAAAATTGAATATACTGAAATATTTATTAACCACAGAGGTGAGATATGTTTGATATCTTTCCTCTGTTAAAAGCTTAGTATGTTTGAAAAATTATTACCTTGTTATCAAAATTGTTCTCGTTTTACTTCTCAGATTAACCTGTTTATGTTTTTTAAACTTTTTAAAAAATATACTATAGAATTGCTTCTCTATGCTATTCATTTCCTTCTGCAACTTCTTGGACCAGAATTATAACTATAAGTACATTCTAGGTGATGTAGCTACTGAAGTACAGCTAGCTGTTTAAAAAACTAATAGTAATACCTATTTTTTATGAAAGGTACGTACTTAAACTACCCTGTGTTCTGTGAGGTCAGAGCATCAGGATGTCGGCACCAGAAGGTGCCTTCGCATTATGTGTCCCTTTGTGTAACAGAGGGGGAGGTGCGGGCCCCCAGCTAGTGGGCTGCCGAGCTGGGGTGAGAGCGCAGGTCTCCCGACTGCAGTGCAGTGCTTCGTCCGCTGCAGGCATCCCCTCTCCTGGGTGGGGTGTCGTCCACTTGTGGTTGCGTTTTGATTTTTATCTTCACACACCAGAGCGCTGTGTCACTGCTGATTAACTCATTATCAGTAAGTTCTCTTTTAGTCTCTGTGTGTGTGTGTGTGTGTGTGTGTGTGTGTGTGTGTGTGTGTGTGTGTAGTTTAAGTGTGGGAAAGGCTGTCCTGGGGTTTGAATTCTGGCTCTGCCTGCTACTTGCTAGTTGTAGGAGCAACAGCAGTAGCTAGCACAGAAGTTAGCTAGCACTAACTGTGTGTGTGCCTGGCAGTGTCTCAGCACTCGGTACTAACCCATTTGCTTCTCACACAGTCCTAGGAAGTAGGACTGTTATCATCTGCGTTTTACAGATGAGGAAACAGGCACAGAGAGATTAGCAGTTTTTCCAAGGTCCCCAGTTTGGTAGTAGAACTAGTTTTTGAACCCTGGCAGCCCCACTAAACTGCGTACCCTTTAACTCACTCCTGTCTGACTGTTAAGCAAGGAGCGTTGTGCCTGGCACGTACCTGTTAAGTGCAAAGAAAGTGTAGCCATGGTCGTGAACCTTGGGGGTTAGATTCACTCCACTCTGCAACCTCGAATCTCACCTTTGCTTATAAATGGTTAGAGTGGTATCTTCTTTGTAATTGGTTGGTTAGAAGATAACTGCACATTATGGTCCTGCTGATTTTAACTATTTGTTTGCCAAGCAAGTGTATCCATTATTACAATTTGTTTGGACCAATCAATCCAGCCTTAGATGTCAGCACATCAAAGTTTTTCAGACTAAGAGACTATTTCATCAAAAGCATCTTTAGTTCAGTTGACAGATGCAGGATTATGATACCCTGTCAGTATTTTATAAGAATTGGTTCCATGTATAAGTGTGAATTTGACATCTTTGCTTTACAGTTTTTAAAGATGTTAACTCTTACTACCTTTTGAGTTTTTGTAAACATATCTTGAGATTCTAGTGCTTCCTGCTGCTTACCAGTTACAATGAAATTCTCTGCATTGAAACCGCTTCCATTTCTCTCTTGGTTGTGAGAGTGTCTGAGATGCACTCCTAAGTCATTCCGGGATGACTGTAACCGTGTCGACAGCCTCCAGTTTACTCGACCTGTTATCTTATAAAATGTCAGCCCTGGAAGCTTTCCAAAATGCACGCCATAAGAGAATATCTCTATTCTGAATCACTTTACACACTTTGCATATCCCAAATCCTTGTGCTTTATTCTGTCAGAGTATTGTGCCAAGACTTGAAGGCTGGCGTACACTTCAGGGATTATCCACTGTGTTCTCACTCCACGAAACTTTCCGCAGTCCGGGACTATGTCTTCATGTTCTCATGAAGTCTGAAAGACCCTCTCTCACAGCAGATTTGTGATAGGTAGTTGATGACTCTTGAATATCTGAATGTATAGAAGGTAGGGAAATGGACAGGGTCAGATTCTCTACTCTTGATGCATTGATTTTACACAGGTCTTGATGTATTTATTACATGTGAGCGTGTGTATGTATAGTGCAGACAAAGCACTACTTTTGAAAGTGAGATGTTTAAACTACTACCACACACTTGGTTGGTGATTTCCTGTGAATGCAGACCTGTAGATAAAATGCCAGTCTTTGTGCTATTGCATTTCTCAGACTGTTAATGCGTTAAGGATACTGTTCATCGACAGGGATGGTTTCTAACCCACGATGGCCCGAGACAGCAGCCTGTAGAGAAGATCTGTCTCCTCAGTCTTCGCGGGGCTTTGACTATACAGCTCTGTACGGAGCTGAAAGAAGTTCTCCTGGGCTTAGGTGACCTTTCATTTGCAGGGAGGAGTTTATCTTGCCAGTTTTCCTTTTCCAGATGGCTTTTAATCCAAGGGTAAAAACCTTCTGATTAGCCTAGACTCCCTTGGTATTTCCTTCTTTTACAGCTTCATCAGATTTATTGAAAAGATTGAGCAAAAAAACAACAAACAAAAATAAGTAGTGTAATCTTTTAACAACATAAAGGAAGGAATGACATAGAACCCATAACTGAACATAATTTTTATTTCCTTCAAGTATAATTTTAATTAAATAATAAATGCACATGATTTAAAAAGGTTGAATAGTACAGAAAAGGGGGAGGTTGTACTGAAAAACTTCAGTCGCTGCTTTTGTTCCAGTTTTGCTTCCCTGAAGCATTTTTTAAATTTTTATCTTCATTTCTCAGTGATATCCTTAGATAACTATATACTCACCTACTTTAGATATTGGTTTTCTAATACATGAATGGTAGCAGGACCGAGCACTTAGTTACCGCTCTTCCCTACTCTCCACGTCCACTTTCAGTGTAGATTTATTAAAATTTTGGATTACTGAATTATTTAGATTCCATTATTGTTACTACATAAATATTATTCACTTCCAAACCAAACAGTTGGTGAGTGTGTTTCCTCTGTTATATCACTTTATTTTTTGAAGTTAGTAATCTCATATTTTTATTTGCTTAATTTTTCTTACTCATATCACTATTCTTCGGTACCATCAACAGCTTCTCCACAGATGTCTATGTGATCAGTAGTCTGTTGGACCACTTTTCCCCCCAAGAAGGTTTCCTTTATAGCACCCCCACTCTTCCTGCCCCAAACTGTGGTGGTGGTTCTCGGGGCCCTGGCTTCCCAATGGGTCAAGAACTGGTGACAGATAAGCCGAGATGTAGACGCCCACAGCCCTCAGCAGTGCTGTGCAGTCAAGGCCATGAGCAGTCAGCCTGGGGCAGTCAAGGCCATGAGCAGCCTCACATTGTCTGGAAATGTTTTTGAAAAGTTTAAAAGGCTCTCTGTTAATTCGTTAGGGCTGCTTTTATAAAATACCACAGACTGAGTAGTTTAAACAACAGAAATTTATAGTCTCACGATTTGGAGGCTGGAAGTCAAAAATCAAGGTGTCCGGAGGCTTGGTTTCTCTTGAGGCCTCTTTCCTCGGCTGGCAGATGGCAACTTTCTCCCTGTGTCCTCGAACGGTCTTTACTCTATGCAGGAGTGCATCCTGGTATGTCTCCCTCTTCTTCTAAGGGCACCAGTCACATTGGATTAGGGCCCACTTGATGGCTTCTTCAACCTGAATTACCTCTTTAAAGTCCCTGTCTCTAAATACAGTCACATGTTGAGGTGTCTGGGGGTTAAGGCTTCAACACATGAATTTGGGAGGGGGCGGGAACAGAAGAGCGAAGCAATGGGATTGGCTGACTAGCAGGAGTAAAGTGAGGAAAAGGGCCACAGGGACTGTGGTTTTAAGCTTAGTAAATGAGGGCACCAATCACAAAGCAACTCTGTGTCTTATAGGTACCAGCTGCTGTTTTAGAGGCTGGAATACAGTGGCAAACAAGACTGACAGGGCCTCTGCCCTCCGGGAGTTCATGTTCTCTTGGGAAAGGAAACAGAAAAGAAGTAAAGAAAAATAATAGCAGGACAGTTTAAGATAACGACGAGGGCTGTGTACGGAGGACGGTGTGAAAGAGTGGCTGGTGTGGGGTAGTAGGGCGTGCTTTAGAGGGACGCTTGGGAACGGCCTCTTGAAGAAAGTGCCATTGGAACTGAGACCTAAAGGGTCAGAAGGAGCCAGCGGAGCAAAAACCTGGGAGAAATAAGTTCACGTCCCTGAGGCATGAATGAGCTTGGTGTATTCAAGAGCAGAAAAAGGCCAGTCTGGTCAGCCCTGTGCCAGAGAAACTGGACGGGCCCATCCTGTGGGTCCTTGTGCCTGAAGGAAAAGAGTTTGGGCTTCATTGTGAATATGATGGGAACCAGCAAGGCTTTTGGATGGTGAGTGTAAGCAAAGGAGAGATAAGGTCTAAGTTACTCTTTTTAGATAGCCCCTGGATTCCGTATGGAGAGCAGATTGGAGGGGGGACCAAGGAGGGTAGCAGGGAGACTGTTGCAGGGATTCAGGCAAGAGAGAATAATGGCTTGAACTGGGTAGCAGCAGTGGAAAATTAGACAGAAGTGATGGATTCTGGATATGGTCTGGAGTTAAAACCAACGGGACTTGCCAATAGCTGAGATGTTGGGAGGAAAAGACAGGAACTCAGATGAGCTTTGTGGCCTGATCAGCTGGTGATGAGCAAGGTGGGGAGGACTGGGGACGGAATCGTTTTTTTGGCGTCGGGCAGGGGTTGAGCGTTTGGGCCTCAGGTTAGAGATGCCCATTAGTGAAGGTGTTGAGTAGGCAGTTGGATATAGAGTCTGCAGCTTCAAGGAGAGGTTAGGGCTAGAGATAAAATTTGGGAGTCATCTGCATGTAAACTTACAGTATTTTTGCCTTTTGTGTATTATTAATTTACAAGCATTTTCATCTGTATTCCATCCTTTAACCTTTTAGCTGGTATTGTTGTTCCTACCAGGTAGACCCAGGAAATCGAAGCTTGGCAAAGCACCTACCACAGCCCGTGCGGTACAGTCAGGACTGCAGTGCAGGT